AAAATCTAGTAGAAGACAACTCGTTATTATTATTCGTGAAGGGCGTCCGTCTTGTAGTGCAGGGAAATAACAAACGGAATCGAATCGCCTCGAAAAAGGAGCAACTAAAGAAACTGGAAAAATTGCTAAGTTCGCAACCATCATGAATGAATGATGTAATCAATCAATCAATCAATCAATACTCAATATTTTTAATAATTAATCAGTAATTAATTAGTGAAAAACGCTACGGAAAACCTTGAAATCATAAGTCATCGAAAATACAACCCAATTTGAAGAAAAACTAATGCGAAAATTATGAGAAACAGTTTTACATTCTCTCTAGCTACGGTAAAATTCTCGTTTTTCATATTCGCTTCTATATCATGGAGAGTTGAGCTTAAAATTTTTTAAAGAAATCCTTGTTCCGAAACAATTCCTGGAATGCGTTCTTATATTTCCTAAAACGTTCCCCGGATCCATTTTTCTAGCAAATGAAATCGCAAATATGTTAAGTAGTCATTTCTGGTTAGACCATTAGCTGTTAACTCGACTGGAAATTTTATCAAAGAATCATTTACTGATAGAAATACAAGGTGAGTCGCTTACACTAGGCAGATTTCTTGATGGCTTCAGGCTTCGAGCAAACTATAAACGCTTTTGTCAGCACAATAAGTTATCCACTCGATCACCATGTGAATTTCATTACTTCTTCTTCTTATAATTCATCGTTTTTGACTTGGTTTCCTCTTTTGATTATCAAGAAAAGACCCTTTCGATTATTATTAGAATGAAAGTCACTTGAAGATATATTGGGAGATATATAGAAGAGAAAAGGTTTTCAGCACCAATTGAGGTTCAGTGGAGTAAAAAAATAAGTTAGCTTCCGTTAACAGATTATGATAAAAAAGTGAAAGATAAAAATCTGCTCGAAATATTAAACGCACATATTAAACAACCATGCAAGAGGATGGATTTTTATTATTTGAAACAAACTGATTAATTTTCTAGAAAAATTTAATAAAAATCGGCATTAAGCAGCTGATAATGCAAAAATATCAAAAAATTCATCTCAAGCTGCTGACAATGAATAGCGATGAGCAATGGCGTATTAGAAATTTTTCGCAACATAAGTAGGGCTTGATAGGATAGCCCGAGGCGATGAAAGAATCTAGATCGCCGGCGGGTTTATTCATAAAATAGCCAACAATCGGGTGGCCTTGAAATTAAACAATACATTATCGCATGTCGAAGCTCGATTTGCTTTCGTTATATCCGATTTTGATTGTATGAAATACGGCAAAACTGCTTGAAAATCTATTATATAACTAGACGATGATCACCATCATCAAATATCGTCGTCATCATCGCTGCGATCACTACGAGCAAATCATGAAAGTGTCGCATTAGCAACTCCTATCTACATTATTTTACTCTTCGAAAAAATAATGTTTATAGAATATTTCATTCAATAGCCGATATCGTAAATTAGCCCGTTTAATGATAGAAAACTTGTAGAAAACTTTGAAAAAAATTTAAAAACACTTAATCTTATCTTATTTATTTTTGAAAACTTGTAACTTCTGCGAAATTTTCTTTTTTTCGCATATATAAAAGAATTTTGAAAGAATTTTTAAAATTTTCTCATTATACCAGATATTTCTAATTTCCAACTTTCTAAACTTATTTTAAAATTTTTTTCGCAAATTTTCAACTTCAGTTACGATTATGTTAACAGACAATAGAAGGTAGAGTGGCTCAGTGAGTTGATAGCCTCATTTTGGAGCAACGATGCTGGAATTCTAATCCTGATGTGAGTCTTTCAAAAATGCGCGGTGTGCGGCCTACTGTACTTCTGCGTCAATTGACTTCAATAAAATTTGCCCAGTATGACAAGCCCATCGAGAAAGGTTAAGCAAAAATGGTACAAACTCTTCAAAAAAAATTTGAGAATCAAAAGTATTATTTCATTACCACAATCTAATTACAAGAAGGCATATCTTCAACAATAAGAAGCAAATCTTGAGGAATTTATTTATTATTTATTTTCTGCAAAAGTGCCAGTGGGGTCATTACAAATTAAAAAAGTCACCTTAGTGCGCTAAATAGGTTAGAAAAGCTGTGAAAAAAAGAAAAAATATTGGATAAAATGATAAAAGTTTTGTCGACAAAAGTGGATGAAATAAATTCAATACGCCCTAAGGCGATTTGTGATGTAAATGATTAATTTAGAAGTTTCTCATCCCCATAATCAGTATTTTTTGTTGCATTTTTTCTATCCATAGTTTCCTTTAAAATATATTTTTGCTTTTACAGAAAAAAATTTCGCTGCACCTCGAACAGCAAAATTTACGGCGGTCGTTGCAGAAAAATAAAAAATGTTTGCATTTTTTGCTAAATATCTAACTAAATAAAAATGTTTGTAAACAGTTCTGCAAAAATGCACTTGCAAATTCATTTGTTTTTCATTTGTTTTCCACCTTTTTTTCATACATAAAATGTTTTCTCAAGCTCGATTTGCGCTAAAATCCATGAAGCACAATCGTCGCTCAAACGAATTATTTACTGTGCAAAATAATAGTTTTTCCCTTATCCGTTGAGTGTGTTCGAAATATTTGCTTTTTCAAAAGCCGATTTTATAGTTCAACGAATTTAGTTATTTATGAACTAAGATTACTATAAAAATGAAAATAACACTCAAATGAGGAGTAAGCTAGATATATTACTAAATATATTAGAGATATTACGGAATAAAACCATTCGAAAAATTAAATCAACTACAGAAACAAATGAGACAATAAGACAATATATATATATATATATCGCGAGGCAAAGGACCATAGGTTCGATCATCGATGAGAGCAAACTCGTCATTAAAAGAAAAATACTGGTGGTGGTAGGAATTCTCATTTTGTTTATTTCTAGGAGTTCATTTCTATCCGCAGGTGACTCGCTGGTAGTACGAGAAACTACAGAAAAAATGACCAGCAGTATTAAAATATAAAGCTCGATAAAGTACCAATTTTGAGAAAAATCAATGGAAAAAAATTGTAAAAAAAAATTATCCAAAATAATCATCGTTGTACAAAAATAATATATTTGCACCAAATTTTTTCATTAGTTTCATAGAAATTTTGCTTTTCGACTAGAATTCTCCCTTCTTCTGATAGCAGTTCACCATTTCTGGTTTAATTAGCTCCACAGACAATTTAGAATAGTAGAATAATAATAACGCTTTGCTAGAGAGATAATCAGGCATAAAAGCAAAAATTTCTTGTCGGTTTTCGTTTAAATTTTAGCGAAGAATTATTTTTACCAGTGAAATAAGGCAATGCGAACGTATATTTTTAATGAATCGCTCATTAAAGACAAATTGAGCGAAGAGGTAAAACCGACTTCTAAAAAAACCATAACGCAAAAATAGAAGAAAACAGGTTTCTCTTGAAGAGGATCATCGTCGTTATCTGAAATAATTCGTTGTCCAGGCGATGCATTAACTCGTCGATAATGAAGCAAAGGTGCGGAGAGTTGTTGGTTTATGCGGCTCCAGTTTTCATGCCGATGAGTTTCCGATTCATTATGGTAGTAAACTAATTCGTCGATTAAACAGTTAACAGTCGGAAGTGCTGCTGACCTTTTCCGTCTTCGCTGTCGTCTTTTTTCTGCTCATCTTCTTTCTCGGTTGTACGGTAGCGAAGGTTGTGAAAAAAATTCAAGAGAACAGTAAGTCGCCTTACTTGCTTGCTCAATTCATTTCTCAACAGTCCATTAGCTTTTCTCGGATGTGCCGGGCTTGCAATTTTTTCACTATTGAATCAGCCAGGAAATATTTATTTCTAAATCCTTTCTCGCTCCATTCATTACTGTATTGTTTTATAAATATTTAAATAAATTTTTAAATAGATTTCGAAGCGGTAAGCAAAATAAAGAGGCTTTCCCCATCGGAAAATTGGAAAAAATCGCTCCTTTGTTAAATGGCTAAAACTACGTAAAAGATAAAAACCTGAAATCACACTATTATTTGCATGAAAATTTTCTAAACACATCACGGTTTTACATGTAATATATAGGGAATTTATTTAGTCCATAAACTGGTACTACAAAATTGGCACTTCAAAATTGGCAAATAAAAAAAACGGTTTTTTCAAAATGCACCGCAAAAATTACAAACGTCGTACAATGTTATCGGCAACCTCTTCAAATCCTTTCCTTTCGCAGAAAAAGTTCTGAATTAAACCAGAAACTGAAAAATGATCCCACAAAAGGCCATTTCTACCATCCATTCATATAGGCTATGCAAGCTATAAATTGCCATAAAAAATCGGAGATCCCAGTCGATTTTTCGCCCGCTCAAAATCAAAGATACATTAAATTAACCCAGATCTCTTTTTTTTTTGAAGAGTCCTCACCGTTACTGGTTAAACTTGCTCCACTGGCTTATCGCAATTGAGCAATATGCCAGGGAGTCCCTTGGCGATAGAAATACAGATGAGTCGCCAGTATCATCCGGATTTTTGCACAGGTTTACTCCTGCGGGAAACCGGACCTCAGCATCAGCGCTCCCAACTAAGCAACAACCCACTGAGCTATTCTATCCCCAAATTATTCCATATTTCAAATTAAATAACACTAAATCGAATTTTTTGGCGGATATTTTATCTGCGAAGAAAATTTCAAAGCTAAACTTTCAAATTCTCAATTTTCCATGAAATTTCAAATTCAGTGATTTGCCATTATCCGAACCCTTTACATCAGTCATCTTTTATGTAATGTGTAGGAATGTGTATTATGAAAACTTCACAAAATGATCTTCACATCCAATGAATTTCTACGAAATTTGTAAAAATAAGGACGTTTATTTAAAAAAAACTGGAAAATATTTTATAATATTTATAATATAATATTTCAAAAGAACTTATAAAAATCGCTATTTCAGCCAATTTTAATAATAATTTCAATATAACAGATTCAATATAAAAACACCAAAATCCTGTTTCCGAAAATAGGTATATTTTTCTCAATTAATCATAGTCACATCTATATTCAGCGATATCCCAGTTGCCAACGATTGTCTATAAAAAAAAAGAAATTAAAATATATTATTAAATCTGGCTAAATTTAACGATGGAATAGTGTTGTTCAAAAAATCTATATGAAGTGTAACAACATTCTTGTAAATAGTTCTTGACCCAAATGTGACCAACCGAAATAAAACTGTACTAATATTTTTACTAAAAAACTTGAACCATAAAAAATTCTTGGAAAGTTTTATACATAAAGTAAATAAAGAAAAATTTAATGCCTGCAAAGCATGAAAGAAGAGCACTTATTTCCGAACAAATACTGAAAATGCCCATAAATAAAGTAAAAAATGGTATTCTTTTTCATTTTATAAGACTTTTTAGAGGCATAAACTTTCTACCTCGCAGTTATTGCTTTCAATCCGTTAAAAAGATTCAGTTTAACTTTTTTTTAATCCTTAACATTTTTACGACAAATCGCGGAAAGACGAAATAAAAAAAACGAATCTTATTTAAAACAATTGTAAATATTTCGATTTAAAAAAAAAAAAAATCAATTTCTCGGAGTGAAATGATTTTTCTTTTGAAAGCTTAGTTTTATTAAGTTTAAAAAGATGACCAAATAATTCGGTCGTTTGATGTTAAATCCTTTGCAAACAAGTTTTCATATAATTAACAACTAGAATTGTTATAAATCTCACGAATGCATACTATTTTATAGTTAAACAATTGATTGTATCAGTCATTAAATTAATGGTGCAATATACTATTTGTTATATAATCGTTTTAGTATTCACTACGCTTGATTCAATAACAAGATACGATTCCTACCGCTCCTCCTAATCGATAAGAATGTAGAATGAAGATATAGTCACCATCGACAAAAGTGAGGTAAAATATAGGAAGTTTTTTTTCTTTGAAAAATAATGTTCTTCTGATACATCATTCTAGTCAGCTTATGTAAAAATATAATTAAAATAAGAAATCGTAAATATAATGAAGAAAATCAGATGTTTACCTCAGGTTTTCTGAGCTTCACGCCTTCATTATCTACAATCGAGATGTCAAATTCATTGCTAGTTGTACAATCGGAGTAAAAAGACAACTCAAGCGATTTGCGTAGCAAAGATATTGTCTAAAATAGTAATTAAACATATCAAATTATCTGAAAGAAGTGCATGAAAAGTTTTTGGTGCATCAACGAATTTCATCGCTAATTCACAAAAAAATTTGTTGAATTATTGTTAATTCATCAGAAGTTTTCAATGTTTAAAAATTTACTTGATCAACAGTCAGTTTTTCACCGTTCTGACGCAATTCGTTTTCAACCATTTCATTAAGCAACCAAGCACCCAATCCAGTAGCTACACTTTTTGTAGAGTAAGCAACGCCTCTGAAAATAGTAATTTTGTTTAAATATAAATTAAAATTTACAAACTTACTCAGAAGATAAACGAAAGCGAACTAATATTAGTGAGAATTGTGGAAGAAAATGGTGAAAATGACAAAAAAAATTTGAATAATAATAATATCAAGAGAAGATAATAACGATAGCAAAAGAAATTTTAGAGAAAGGCAACATAAAAGTACATTCATATATATATGCTAATATTTAGATATTAAGTATTAAAAATATAGTTGATTAAAAAAAACCTTTGATTGACGACTCCAATGAACGGTTCAAACTGATCATTTTGCATTTGCATTCCAGCTACAACAAGAATATTCCATAGAGGATTGAGTTTAGTGCGCCGAATGTACATCAAAGATGTCAAATATCCATGCAACATCCGAGGACTCAATTCTGCAGTAGGATCGTGCGCCTTTAGTCTAAATGTCTGAAAAACTAATTTAAAATTAGATCAATGGATGAGAATCCAAAAGATCACATAAAATAATAAAATACGAAAGCAGAGATATACCTGAGAAAATAAAAAAAAAAGAAGAATAAGCATCTACGAAAGAATAAATCAAATTATTATGCAGAAAATTACTAGAATTAAATGTTTTTTTACGGAAACCATGAACAAAAAATAGTAGTAGATCATCTACCAGTTCAAGTGGTTTACAGTCGATCCATACCCTTTGAAAAATTAAACAAAAATCAAATTCGAATGGTGCTAAAGAAAACATTTTTCGAAAAAAATATGAGAAGGTACCTGTCGTTCAATTAGATTTTGCAACCATTGAAAATCAGCATGATCTCCTCCAAAAGCGACAACAACTCTGGAATTCACTCGATATTGACGACAAAAATGACGGTATCTTGCCATTTTTCCGTAAGAAACTAAACGATCAGTCATAATAGCAACTCCATCCTTATACGCGATCGCAACAACTGTCGTACCCGTGCATGTAGGATTACTATAAATATTTGAAACAAGCAACATATATTAAAGCATTTTATAAATTTTTGCCCTTGAAAATGCCTTATGCCTTTATGCCTTTATGCCTTATGCCTTTCCCATGATTTTCAAAACATTCCATTAAAAAAAAGTTCATTGAAAATAAGTTCAACAAATAAAAATAAAAACAACTTATAACTAATAAATTAGAAACCGCCACCGATTAATAACTGAAAACAATAATTGTTATTAGAAACGCACCAATATTGCAAATCTAAAAATAACATTATGAGATGGAAGGTGCTAATGAAAAGAGATTTAAAAAAAAACTAACAGACTAAGCTGGATCCCAGGTTTCTGCGTTCCTTCCATAATTAATTGTTCTGGAAAATTATTTCAATATAGGTTTCTTTTCGCCCTTTCCATTTCTTTTCATCGATTTTATTTTTCGGCAAATCTTAATCTCTTTTCCTAACCACGTTCCTTCATTTTCTTTCACCGATTCCCCTGACCAATAATTTATTCAACTAATATACCAAATCCACCTAATATAAAATACATTATCCATGGGTTTAGTGGTAAAACTGAATTAAGAAGGGTTAGGATTTGAATTTGTACCACCTTTATTGGGCGGCAATCAAGAAAGCGTGAAAAACAATTCATTGGTCGCGCTAAGATTCTATGCCGGCCAGGAATAAATCTAAAAACCCTTAGAGAATCTAGGCGATGATGGCGATTCATTTGTAATTACATCCCCAGTTGGTTTCCTAGCAAAGTTTGTTTGGTCCAATAAGCCGGCCACACGAACCAAATTAGCACTAGCAAGAGTTCATAGAAAAAACTATAACTCTGTAATTCCACTTTTGGATGTCGATATTACCCCAAAAACGGAAAGTTTTTCGCTTCAATTTTTGAATTAATCAAATCATTAATTTAATGAAAGTTCTTAATAAAATTTAATGTTAATTAATCTATGAATGCCTTGAACATACGAAAACATTGAAGTTTTATATAGCCATCTGCAAAAATTTAAAATCCTACAAAAATTTTTGTGGATCTAATCAAATGACTTTTAAAATTACCCTAATTACTTAAACGAAAACAAAGGTAGCATAGTTAACGCTGTAACCATTATAAAATAAAATTCCAAATGAGAACTGAAAGTTTTATCCTAAAAAATTAAAAATTCCTATAAATAAACGAAAATTAATAAAATCTTTCGGAAGAATCAAAAAACAATAAAAACGAAAAAAACTTAATAATAAAATTTTTGAAAAATTTCAAAAAAATAATTTTTCAGAGTTCCCCTTCGATTCTTCGAATGAATGAGCAATTTGCAGGACACAAACAAAATAAGATTTATAAAAAATATTGTAGCAAATATAATGAAGAAAAAACTTTTACAAAAAAAACGATCTCATGTGTCGAATTTTTTTTCGAAAGAATTCATTAACAGACAAAGAAAATCAGTGGAAGAATTCTATTTATCTTTTTTGATTGTTTTGTTTATTAAAAATTTATTTATTTTTCTAATTTATTAAAATTATCTAAATTAAATAAATAACATAAATAAGTTAATTAGATTTAAATACTTCCACTGTTTATTAAAATGGAATAAACATTGTCAACCATACTTTGTAAAATAATGGTGAAAGAGCGAAATTATGAAATTATACTTCGGAGGAAAATAATAAAAATTTAAAACAATCATCGGTAATAACAAAAATTATTTTCACAGATATACATCACTCACCAAAATGGAGAAAGGATAACCCGGAAAAACAATAAAACCCATTATAAACAGAAATAATCTAGTAAATACAAAAAAAATAAAAATAGAATAAAAAACTAATAAAATTGAATTGAGTAGAAAACTAGATTTTCTTACCAAAATTCACTAATTATGAAGGCTAAACACTAAGAAACAATATGAAATTGAACTGCTTTCAAGCGAAGAAAGGAACTAACCAGAATTGGAAAAAGAAAACAATGAAATAAGGAAATTTTAAAAATCTCGATATTTCATCTCCACAGTTATATTATATCATAAAGCTAAAATCAGAGCTATTCATCAGTTGATAAATAACTGAAAAAACTGAAAACTAAAAAGAATAAAAATTAAAACTTTTTATTAAATTACACCAAATATAGTGGCTAAAAATATTTCTATGATAATATTTGGCTCTTTTATTTCTTCATTTTCATTAACATAAAGCCATCATATAATAATAAAAACCACGAATGATGAGAATTATCAGCATTGTTCAGCAATTTACAGTAACTGAAACTATAAGATCAAGATCCCTATAAGAATCAGGAAGCTAGGACAAAAATTAAATATTAAAATATTAAATATTCAACTTTAAAACAAAAATACACCTGAAGGAACCAAATGCATTTACGTTCCATTTATAACAAGAATCAATGAAATATCATCATTACGATAACATTTTGGGATTTTAGTGGTAAATTGGAAGTGATGAGCTGAAATAAGAACAATTCCTTCTTATTTTTGTTTTGCTTTTTTTTTCAATTAGGACCTAAATTAAATCGAAATGTGGCAAACCTTCACAGTTAGATCGTTCAATAGCAGTCTTAAACCGGCAACATTTCTTGCAGTACAGAAAAATACATCCAGTGCTAGCTGGCATTGAACACTGCAAACATTTCAAATAAGGTTTTTTCATAGCTCGTTCATTTCGACCATTCCTCTGCAAAATTCACCTAGTAACTGAATTTTAAATATTCATAATAAATAATTCTAAGCATGAATGATAAACTAAGCACTCAAATTTCTTTTCATCATTTTCAAACTCGAATATTAAAAAATTTTGCTTTGAATGCTTTGAAAATTTTTTAGAATAATTACAAGTCATCTTTTTTATTTTTTATTTAGAAATTTCTTACAGTAACTATAGAATAATTAGAATTTAAAAAATTCTATATTTGAAAAAAAATTGTGAAAGGATTATAAAAGATTATGCCTAGCGAGAGATCTTAAAATTTTGGCCATTAAAAATATTTGTAGAAAAATTATTCAGAAAATGCAAATATTAAAATAAAATGTAATATAACAAAAAAAATCATAGACTCTGGAGAAATTGGAACAGTAAAATAGAAGTAGCAGTATTATGTCAATTAACAGATTAAAATTATTAAAATATCTTTATCTTTATTAAAATTTAAACGAAAAAATGAAACATACTCGGCGTCTTTCTATTTTACGTAAACGACGCTTAGATAGACCTGTTTGTTGAGCCAATTCATCAAGTTTGGCTCTTTTATGCATGCGATATTCTGATTCAGATATAGCGGCATCATTTCTCACCGGTCGATAGTACGGCTGACATATCCAATGAGCAAATTTATAAGCATTAGGGGATTCAAATTCGGCTTTCATATAATCTGAAAATTTTTTTTTTAAAACGGAGTAGAAACGTAGTAGGAGTGACCAAAAATTTAAAAACGAACATACTAAGATAATCAGGATTGGTACTTTTTACGCGCGACTCGATTTCACTGATAGTAGCACGAAATTCCTCCATTGCACAAACACTTGGCAATTTTTTTCGAAGATCCTCGAAATGAAGTAAACTATAATCAAAAAAACCTTTTAAACAAGGATATTATCAAAATAATTAATAAAAATGCCTAAGTAAAAAATCTGCGTTCCAAAAAGAAACAAAGAACACCTATGATGACAAATGCGAAAAATATGCGCTCGTATAGAGCTCTGAGATGCACCATATAATTCGACAAAATTCAAATATTCGGTAGCGACTACCCAGTTCAAAGTATGGCGTCCTTCAAAAAGAAACGGATTACCCAAAATTCCTTCCGCACTCATAACTGCATCAGCTTTTGTTTTTTCCAGACATAATTCAATATCTTTCGGCATCTAAGAACAAAAAAATTAAAATCATTTCATCAATAATTTCTAGATAATAATAAGAAATAAGTTTGAGATATAAAGAAATTAATTGAGAGATATAGCTCAAGAGGCTCCAGAAAATTTGAAATTCTTAAAATTTTCAATATCCACTTCACGTTTAAGATATGGGTCTATTTTTGTTATGAAACTGATAATTTGAAATACCATGAAAGAAAATGTAATCTCTAGAAATAGAACTGTAAGAATAATTTAATATTTCAAATTAATATTCAATAAGTCTTCTTGGAAATATTTTAAAGCCTTTTAAGTACAGAAAATGCCTTATTATAAATTTGGTAAATAAAACCGCAAATTACCTGTATATTACCATTAGCAATAACGGGAATATTGATGGATTCCTTAACATATCGAATAGCATTCCAATCAGCCAAACCAGTATTAGGCCCACGTTGATCGCGAGTCCTTCCATGTACAGTGAGAATACAAGCGCCAGCGCTTTCCAAAGCTCTATAAAAAGTAGTACATTTCCAGATCTATACAAAAATTAACGAGAAACTGAAGACAACAATTAATTTCAATTTCAGCAATCTTTACTATCCTTTTTTTCACTGAAAAAATATTATTATCCAATTTATACCTAACAAAATCGAAAAAATGAGTAACGAAATCGAAAAAATCGAAAAAATGAGAATGAGAATGAGTAAAGAGAAAAAGAAATAAGAAAAAACCTCGCATAAGAAATGGTCTCATTGATATCATCAAGAATGCGGATTTTGCAAGAAAGAGGTAATTTACAATAAGCATGAACGTATGAAATCATACGACAAATTAAATCTCGATCTTCCTAAAATAGATATTTTCAAATCAAATAATAAAATATTGAAAAATTAACAGTAAGACATTAAAAAATATAAAAAATATTATTATTTTAATATTAAAATATTAAAAAAACATAATACATTGAAAAAACAAAAAAAGATATTAAAAAAAGACAAAAACATAAAAAATGAAAAATATCTAAATGTCTTAAGAAAAAAGTTTAATGTAGTTTTATTAATTATATTATAACTACTAGTTTAATTATATTATAACTACTAGTGTTTTAAATGACAATTTTATCAAATTTTTTAAATTCACAGTTATAAAGACTTCTGTAATACCTGCAAATATGCTCCATAATGCCCACGCCGAGCGATTAACTGAGGACATCCAAGATTGAGATCAACTCCATCACAATACGATTCAACGAGACGACAAGCAGCTAAGAGTATTTCAGGATCATTTGCACAAAACTGGACAATAAGAGGACGATCACTAGTACAAGTAGTGAACGCACTTTTTCGATAAGTATAATCATTTACGAAGAGATGTGCATGGATCATCGGTGAAAAACAAATATCCGCTTTATGGCAACGCATCATCATTCGAAACGCTAATTCGCTAAAAACAAAACATTTTTTAAATTAATTAGAAAACTTCAAACAAAAGAATTCAAACAATTAAATTTTTCAAATTCAAACAAAATATGTAGATAATTTTCCTGCATATTCAAATTTTTTCCCACAGCCAAAAAAAAAGTTTTCAATATGACCCACAATAAATAAAATAAAATCCCGATAATCCACAAATGGAGTGGGAAACATTTATGGATGATATTTATAAATATATTTTCAACACTAAAATATTTTATATTTTACATAAATGCAAGAATATATTTTTTATTGAAATTTATAAATTTTGTTTTCTATAAACGCACAGTTTTCATCAAACCCTCATAAAAATCTATCCACGATACAAAACTATTAAGAACCATGGATATAAAATAAAAATATGATCCAATCCTACTTATAAATAACTTATTTTCAGAGGCAAAAACACTTCCCCCTTCCTTAATCCGGCACTTTCAATTCCTTATTCTAGCCAAGCTCAGAAAAACTAAGTCTGATGCCAGATGGTACTCATAATAAAATAGTCGTTATTGATATTCATAGCCTGATACTTCTGATTTATCTGATGAAGCACATCCATCCACTTCTTAAGATATTACAGAGAAGAAAAATGTTAAGATGAGAAAAAATCTAAAAAAACGGCCATTTCTACAAACGCAAAATTGTGCTATATTGGATAAGAGAGAATCATATAGAATTCACACTCTTTATATTATTATATTATATTTACTATTTACACTCTTTATATTATTATATTATATTTATATTATATTATTAGTTTTAGCCATAAATACAAGAAAAAAAACCTCTGATCGACCATTGGTGCAACAATGTATTTCGCATTTTTTAAGATTTGTCTAGCACGAATTTTTTTCACTTCCAACTGTTCGATGCTCAATGGTTTGCAGTCCGATGATGGTAAAATCTTTTTTCCAATAGACAAAACCGTCGCATTTTTTTCCATGCAAAAATCGAATGTCCTGAAAAATTCTTAGCTATTGTGGCTACTTTTAGGTAAACATAAATAAATTTATTAAATTATAAAGGCGAAAAAACGAATGCACACATAAATAAAGCAACAATAAGTAAATAAAACAAAACAAAATCGTAAAAAATTCCGCACTTGCCTACTTAAATTTTTTTGATTTATTATAAATGCTGGAACCACATTAAGCAAACCTGTTTTATGCCAATAAAGTTCAGCTAATGTAATGTACGACTGGAGAACTTTCTACCCGTACTTCTGCCGTTAAGTGGTTGTTTCAAGTAAATATGCGACCGTCGTGGGGAACTTTCTACTTGCTTTTGCCCTTAAGCAACTCTCTGGCGAAGGATTTTAAGACTTACGAAGATTTAAAATCTATAAGTAAGCTAAATCAAAAATGGCGCGCATAGTCAGAAGAAAGGAATAAAAAAGCCATATTTATTTAAATATTACCTTTAACTGCAAATGATTTTGAACTATAAACGATTTATAAATTTTTACTAAAAAATTTCCGGAGAAAATATGGTTTTTTATTTCGGATAAAACTATTCTCTTAAGAAATATTACTTTAAAATTATTTATTACAGCTTATTTAAAAAAAAGCAAGGAAAAAATGCCAACAACACGAAAAATGTTCAGAAACATTCCTTCTGCTCTACCTAAGTCTGAGCTGAAGCCGTAGACTAGCATGAATAAAAGTCAGCTTGGCCGATTCCTCAATACGAAAGCTGAATTTCGAAGGTTACCAGGTGGATTTAAGCAGAGGTTGGTGTAATTTCATGCTTTTAAGGGTCCAAAGGTATGTTTGGGAAGTAATACATACTAAGCGTGTTGCGCATTATCGAGCATTGAGCTCTAAACAAGCCATTTGGCACGAAATATATTTATACATATAGGAGCATAAAGCACTCCATCGTGTGCCATTCCACTTATAATAATCATTTTAAAGCTGATAGCATTCTTCAAGTCAGTTTTATTCCAAACGTTTTCATCCCTTTTACATTTTAAACTTTTCTTCACTATTGAATTCATTGATGTGTATTTTAAACGGCAGTGGTTTCTTCTTCTTCTAACAGCTCTCACCATTACTCCAACGGCTACAAGGGTAAGACGCTTCCAAGCGGCGAGGTCTGATGCCATAGTCGACAGTAATAGAAGCCATTCGTTTTTCCATCGTTTAAGTCCATACATTGCTGGTCCACCTATACGTTCAAAATCTTTTCTCACCGTATCAGTCCAGGTCTTGATTGGCCCACCTCGCTTTTGACGCCAACCGTCACACGGTTTAGCAAATAACGAAATATGCCTCAACTCCTGTGGTGGACGACGGAGAATGCCCTAATCAGCGAAGGCGGCGCTCTGTAATAACATTATTTATGCAAGTGGTATTTGAACGAAGGTGTATGCGATCTTGTGAGATTTTATCCACTCGGCGAACCCGTAAAATATACCTTAGACAAGAGTGGTCAAAGGCAGATAACTTCTTAATATCCTCCACTCTAACGGATCACAGCAATATCAAACGGCAGTGGTTTAATGGATTTCGTTTGAATTTGACGAATTTCGATATAATAAATTTAAAAAATTTGTTATAAAGGTTTTGATGGAATCCTTAATAAATAGCAGAATCGGCCATTATTTTGATTTTCTTGGTCGAAATAGGCATGTAAAGTTAGTTTTGAAAGGTCCAATCTGAGAAAGCTCGCTACAGATAAAGCGAGTCTGATAACGAATTTCATTCTAACTTAACATTTTCGCCGTTTTTTTATTATTTTGGATACTAACTTTCAACTGAATTCTTAGCATATGAGCGAACTATGATGCAGCAAGAAAGTATGCAAAATACGAACGGAGTGCTAGCACCACCTTGAGTTGTTACAACTTTAATAGTTGTTTTACTACCTTTAGGCAGAGCCATTTCACTTGACTTTAGGCATGCCATTTGGCCAACTCTTCTCGATAGATGCCTAATTTTTCTTCAGTATAGTTCCAGCCCTCTATATTTCAAGAAATTCTTTTTTAGATCTATTGGAATGGTTTTCAGTAGTTTCTATCCCACGTATTGTTTTCATATAAGAAGCCTCCTGCTTGAATAAATCGTTTATTTAATTGCTATTAATGGAAATAAAATTATCTGCTGCAATAAAATAATATTCGAAAGCTGGAATTAAAATTTAAATTTAATGAAAATTATTTAAAAACAGCCTTATCAAAAAATTATCACAGCGATAAATAGGTAGATAAATCAGAGAAAAATTATCAATGCATGATTCAAACATCAAATAAAAATGCCTTCATGTAGTCATTTTTGTTATTTCCTATGTTCATAAATCATAATACTTCATGAAATCAATGACAATATTGCACCAAATAACAGCTAATGGAAACATAGTTGTATGAATATCTGATCGATTTGGTTCTAGAAAAAATTGAAAGGTTTATTTAAAATCATAATAGAAGTAGGAAAGTGGTATAGTCAGCTTTTAGCTGGATTTCTTTAAGTAAAATTCGAAGATAGAGTTAAGCAAGTAGCAAATAATTCTACTTGTTACTTTACATTAGCCTTAACTCCAAATTTAAGAAATTTAGTAATCAGGCATTGTTAAAAACGCAGATATCGCAAATATTCGTCGATGATCGTCAGTTTGCAATATTTTATTATGATAACGATCGAAAGTTCGCTCAATTTCACAGATTGCTCGGTTATGAAGAAATTCATAAAGTGAATCATTTAAAGATGAAATATTTAATGAAATCTGAAATAATCTACAAAATAATTAATAAAAAAAGAGATGACTGAGGAGCAGTTGTTGCTTGTACTAATTCGATTCCCTAATAGAAGTAAAACATGAAATCAGATCGTTCCATTTGTATCCTTAAGCGACTCTCCGCCGAAAAGATTTTGCTTCTAGCAGGCAAAAGAACCAGCCAAATAAGAAATTATCAGAAATAATTCACTGTTAAGTGACGATTGTGAGATATTTTTTTCAGTAAATTAAATATTTATCAATAAATATTCCATATTTCAGATTCATTTTTTGAATTTTGTTTCTGAAGAAAAAATTTAGAATTTTCCTTGACTTTTAGGTTTTAGAATTTAAAATCTTAGAACTTTTAGAATGTTTCTTCCTTTCATCTAAATAAGATAATAAAATTTACCAAACTTTCCGGCTTAACTGCTTTGCAAAGTTGCCTCAATAAGAGCAAAGCAATACGCCTATTTATTGCATATAGTGGGCCTATTTTTATATGATCTGAGCGAAGCGCTGGCACTGAAATCGCATAACCCATTGTTTCTCGGTCTTTACTTACAGCTAATGCACCGTTAAAACCATTCAATTGGCTGATATTTTTAAGCGCATTACTCCTGAAATTAATGCAGTAAATAATAGAAAAGTTGGCTTCCTTAGTTCCTTTAAATTTTAATAATAAGAATTTTTGATATTGTAACAAATTTGCAAATAACTGACTATTTGTCGAGAAACTGTCACAAAAATGAAACCCATGAATTGCATTTAAATTGCATTCGGACAGTTAGACCATTTCGTTATTTCGCATGGCAGGCGGAATGTCCGCTTATAACAGTGAAAAACACCTTCCTCACACGATGCCATCAATGTGTTCTTCCAAAATGAATTATCTTATAAAATGGTTGGTCTTCCAAAATATAAACATAAGCATAAGTAGGAATTCTTTACCTGTCTTCGCCAGTGATAAGCGAATCGAAATCGAAGATCGTCGATATGTCATGCTCGTCCGTAATGTCGAACAGCGTCGGAAGCACCGTACTTCTCTAAAGTCTTTTCTCTTATTTAAAAGCTAATTATTTAAGTATTTCGGATTTATCAAACCTTTAAAAGGATTTTACTTGATTAGCCAAATTTTCCAAACATTTTTTCGTAGAATTTGCAAAGAATTAAAAAAGTTGAATTTTCTATAAATGAAGAAATGAAATGAAATAAACGACAAATCTAATTTAAAAAATGTTAATTTAATAATGCTAATTTTTATAAATTCATAAATAATTCATGAAAAAGAAACTAATTTTCACCTTCTCTAAATGTGAAATGTAATGCGAACAAGCAAAAACAATATTTTCCGCATATCCAACAATTTTAAAAATTGAATAAGTTTTTCTGGTTAAAAAGAATGGCATTCGAACTCGTAATTGACTACGCCCTTTAAAAATTATTTTTTTATCGAAAATTGTTTCCATAAATTTTTAATTTTTCATTTCATTTATCTGGTCGCATCGATCCAGGATTAACTGAACGACTCTGACGGCATCCATGATCGACTGGCGGCGAAGAACAGGATCTAGCCAACATACGCGATACTCTGTTATGAGATGAGGTACCAGTGCTATTCGATAGAAGATGGGCAATGAAAAACATGTAGAATTCGTGCATTATATATCTCTATTGCTCCACAGCCATTCGTGTCCATAGGTGCAAACTTTTGTTTTAACATTTCCCAAATTTCGTGCAAAATGGGGTATTTTCTTTCCAAAAATAGTTTCGTACTTTTATTTTTATGTCAAAAAGATTTCACCTTAACCGTCACTGGATTTTCCATCTCCCTGAGAGTACAGTTTGTTTTATTCGGAAATACTCTTTTAGCGAGAAAAAAGCATAACGGTAAGAGCCCTTGAATATGTTGAAAATTTAAATTTAAGCAAGATAAGTCAGTGGTTAACGTTATTGATTAGCTTTCTGATTAAATTAGTTCCACTGACTAAGTACGGTTCACCGACAGAAATACTGGTGGGCCATCAGCATCATTCGGATTTTTTTCTGGAGCACTGCTCTTGACGCATCTAAACTTCTGTTCGGTCGGCTATATTTTTTTCAAATTTGATAAATTTAAATTTATAAATTTTTTTAAAATTTCTCACTTAAAATATCACAAAATGCTATGGTTTGTTGCTGTTCAATAAGCTTCTTAAATTCATCGAAGAGAGTTTGTACTGTTTTTTCATCGCTGAAAAAAATTTTTTTCTTTTCTGAATCTACAAAATTCAAGTAATTTATTTCATAATTTCCAAATAGGTAATAATAGGTAATAATAAATGAACCGATTTTTTTCTTTTTATATTTAATATTTTATCGAAGTATTATTAAAGTTAAAGCAAAAGCAAAAGTGCGTACTTAAAGTCACTTCGAATATTCATTGTCGCCAAATATGAGAGATTCGCATAAGATAAATTAACAACGATTAAACCGCCAACAACCAAAGCTGGTGCTATAATTTGTATTATTATCATTATTATTTATTGAAAATTATCCGAAAATAGCGATCTCTTGCTCGATAGGCATAATTTTTTGAACGAATCCACTATTTGATTGAATGAAAAAATTTTTTGCATGAAAAAAATTAGTTCGACCAGCTTTTTCCATTTCTGTTTCGCCGATAATCTCTTCATCAGGGATTAGAAGAAACACAAACGGACGCTTAGTATTTCATTTTAATGGCAAGCTTACGACAATATGACAAAAATTAATTAGAATTAGAATTAGAATTAAATGCAATTGGATGAATTAAATATTACTTACCATCAGTAGGTACGGCTAAAATTACGTGACATGAAGGTGTATGCATTATTAAAGAAATTAAATTCGAAGATCGGAACTCGCATAGCATGCGATCATCTGTTGATAACAGCGCAGAAAATTGCTTCAAAAGGTCGATGGTAAGGTCGCCTTTGATTAAACGAATAGGGCTTCGATTAAGTTTCTTTAATTAGCAAAAAACATTTGTGATAAAGTTGCTAAAAATAGGAATTTTTTGCCTGATAATCAGTTCAGGAGATTATAAATTAGAACAACAAATGACTACAAGAAAATTATTTACGGTCAGAATAATGAATAATAAGATTTTAAGTTTTAAGATTTCTATGATAATAATAAAATTTTAAATATGAAAAAAACAACTTAAAAGCTTATACTTACTTAATCTAAAAGGCCTTAAAAGCTTTTGCTTACTTATAACTTAAAAGGTATTAAAAGCTTTTGCTTGCTTATAATTTAAGCAGCCCTTAGGCACAGACCCGTTAATTGAAATACCATTAATTTAACTTACTTACTGTCTTTCACATTCGATAAACTTCAATTGTTAGAATGAAAAAAGGGCAAAAAACTGAGAAAATAAAACCAAAAATCTCATAAACATCAAAAAATAAGTAAAATTGTTTGATTTCTTTTTTATTATTGAATAAGCGAATAACATTTCCAATTATTTTCGCTTTTTTGTTTTCAAAGTTTAAGTGATTTTTTAGTATAAAATTCTGCATTTTAATGTAAAATTCTGAAAATATAATTAAATTATAATGAAAATTTCATTAAAAAAATGCAAAAATGAAGCAAAAAAACTAAGAAATTAGAAATTAAGAAATCGTTTAAGAAATTTTGCAAGTTTTGATATTTGGGAAATCAGTGGAAATTGTTCTGCTGATTTATTGCTAGCACCATTAGCGCCATTTCTGGTTTGGCTGGTTCTACAGAGTTTTGGCAGGGAGGTGCTTTTCGCTAGCGAGCCACTTTATGATACAAATGGTGGTCACCACTTCAATTTCATTGTTAATAATAGGTTTTTTCTCGTCAAAGTAACTGAACCTGTGGCGCTCCGTCTTAATCAAATCACCTTATCACTCGAATTCTATTTTAAATTCTCGAATGTTTAATAAATTTGAGGAAATAAATTTGAAAATTCAATGAAATGAATGAAAATAAATTCATTACTCACATAAGAATTCTTTTAATATTAATATTATTATTTAGTAATATTAATATTAATATTAATATTACTAAATAATAAAAAAATAAATAAATAAAAAATAATGCAAACCAATGAATCAGTTGCAATGGGAATTTCGAAGGACTCGCGAAGATAAGAAATGAAACTCATTCCTTTATTTAATTTAAATCTATTCATCGCACTTACTTAGAAATGTCGAGTTTCGTTCTTTTTTTCAAGTGAATCCTCCTAAACGAATTCAGTTTTATAAAAATTGAATGATAAAAACAATAGAAAATAAAGTACGAACAAAAATAATCAAAAAAATCGCCATTTCATCGATTGAATCGAAATTTATTTTGTGCAAAATAAAAATTTGTTGTGTGATTTCACTTATATAGAAGAAAGGACAATCGAGTGGTTGTCGCTTATCGTCCAAAACGTAAAGATTTAGAGGCGTAAGAGGGTGCCTCTGGCAGAAATGTCATTCAAACATTCAAACATTCGGATGGTACTGACACCACATCTGCGCCATGCGCTTCCTTGACGAGAGTTTCCCATCGCACTACCAACTAACGGAGGAAGAAATGACGAATGCTACGACATATATACGGATATTAAATTGAATAAATGTTTCTTAATATCAATCAAGCGATCAGTTTTATAAATCAATGTCCACAACTTTTCACTATTTCAGAATGTGATCATGCAATTATGTTTTAAAATTATAAGTATTACGCTGCGAAATCTTCAAGGACATTCAGGAATTGGCTCGATGATAGGTGATTTACCAGGACTAATTAGATTTGCTGGTCGCCGTCCTTTGCCTCTCATAATCTAAGCCATTAAGTCTACTCGGCTATACGACATTAAAAAATAAAATGAAAAAATAAGAAAAGAGACCTTTCTGCTTCAAAAATTTAAGGAAGAAAAAGGAAGGGTTGGCTTACCGAGGATTTGACGTGGCTATCCTAATGGCAATCAGTTAATATTCTCCTCGATCCATCAAAAAGTGAATTCAATTTATCGGAAAAGCTGAAAGAGAAATGTCCAACACTCACTGTTGAATAAAATGAATTACATTTCTACATTCGATTGAATGATTGCAAAACTTTTCCTTACAAATCTGAACGAAGGAAATAATCTAATCAAATTTGAAAAATGAAATTGAATTTTGAAATGTCGTAGAAAGTATAACGCGGAATGAAAATAGGAAGTGAAGTAGAAAGTTGTTCGTACACGCGAATATCCGCGAATCCGACGGCTCTTTGCTGTTTATTATTATTGCAATTATTATTTATTATTATTATGATTATTAATGGAAAATAGTCAATAGCAATGTTTTCAAAATGGCAAATAAATGAAAGAAAAGAAGTCCATGAGTCCGTTGTTTTTCCTCGGCAATTAATTTATGCATGAGTTGCTTCATTCGAAGAAATAATCATGCAAAAGAAGTTATCGGCAATCATCAGCAATCACATCGTAATAGGCATTCGGCGACCTATGAGCACAACTGTGGAAGTGGAGGTGGCAGTAGAGTTAGTTTCAGGAGCACCAGCCAACCGCGAGACTCGACAGCCTTGCTCTAGCAGCTCTAGCAGCAGAAAGCCAAAGCAAAGAACCTGCGAACTGTGCAAAAAAATGAAAAGATTGTTCATAGCACCTTGTTATTCACATGAATAAATTTAAATACGGCTAAATTCTTCACCGAAAATGGGCGAAAAATTCAAAGAAATGATGAAAAATAAAAGAAATAAAAATTTTTTGACAGAATTGGTCAAACTGAAATGATCGCCAAAAGTGTATCATAAATGCTGAGAAAGTAATAATTTATGAGAAAAAAATTAAATATTCCATTTGAAGGAGTGCTTCGCAAGTTGTTTTTTATTCAACCAGGTGCTTTCTAAAATTTTTTTCAATTTTGCCAATATTTGCCAATACTGAGGCGAAAATCGAAGCGATCTTTTTATAAGGCAATTTTGTGGCAAAAATTAGAATTTTTTCTTTAATAAGATAAATTAACTTTTTATTGCTTTTTATGATTATTTTACAATATTTTATCACTGCAATTGACAAAAAATCACTTTGTTGGCAAAAAGCCGTCCTTTGACAGCACTCGTTTCGAATTATTATTTATTGTCTTTGGTTTGAACGAAGGCGATGCTTAGCAGTCAGTCGCACTTGGAGTTAGCGTTGAAGCCAAACGAATCGCATAATTTCAACCAAATATTTTACGATAATTAGGAATAATTGACATATTTAAGTATTTTTACTCGATGGAATGCAGCAAAAAACAAACGCTAAAAAGTGGCAAAAGCATTAGGAAAAAAGTATTTTGCACGAACCGAGGCTTATCCAGCCGAGAGTTCCGCCAGAGAGAATATAAACGCAGGTTGGTTCCAAGCAGCTCCTCGCCTTTGAATGAGAAAAAAGGACCGAACTCACGATGCTTGGCCTCATTTGAAGCCACTTGTTCTTCCTGCATTTAGCCACCATCGCTTAATGATTGATGATTTTATTCAACAAATCGAGAATTGTGCATTAGTTAAACAACGCAGATCGAATTTCTGAGTTCGATTTCACGACTGGCCGGGTTATTATTTGCAATTAAGTGTATTTCCCACCATCCACAATCGTCCTTGTGCGAAGAAAAACGAAATTGTCCATGTTTGCATGTGACACGTCAATGCAATAATTGCATGTCGCCCTTTTTATTTTATCGCCTATTTTATTGCTTTTCGAAATTATTTCCCATTAAAAATTAATAAATTTCCTTCTTTTTTTCGTTAAGCTTCTTCATTAAAAAACCAATTGACCAATGAACTTTTATTGAAGAATCTTTTTAAATATGTTTAAAAATGGAACAAATTTTTGTATTAATTTTGTCAATGAAGTTGCAAAAAAATCAACAAAAGCAAAAACCTTCAGCAATTAAGGTAGAAATAATTTGAACTAAATAACTTAAAACCTTATCAAATTTCATGATTCTTCGCCTTTTTAAGAAAAAAATTTGACCTTATAAATGCAACCTAGATGATAAGCTGCGATTGAAAACTGATAAGCAGCTGATAAGCAGATAAAAAACTGCACGTTTTTTTTCATGACTGCAAAAATCATTAACCTCTCAACATTCGAAAGTACAATCTAAGTATCAAGGTACCAGACATTAATCGCGCTCCGCAACCTCGGCCGCGGCGTTAATTTTCTTCTTATCAGTCGTATCTACTACTTGTCAGCAGATCAGTGGTGACAGCTAAAAACTAATTGTAATGAAAGGCTGATTGTGCTTGTCTATTTGGTAAATTTCTTGTTCGATTTGTTTTTTTTATTGCGCAATAAATTTCTATAATAATTTTATTTAGTGGTGTTTTGCGGTTCTTAAGGCACCTAATTTCTGGTAAAGCTGAAATGCGTAGAATAGTAGTAGAATAGTAGTTCTATCAAAAGAGATTTTTCCGAATTTCTGTTGTCACTCGTTACTCGTTACACTCGTTGCACCTAAAATGCGACCTTTACATATTAAAAAAATATTATTGTAATTTCTGTCAAATGTTGATTTTTCTAATTGTAAAGAGGCACAAAGTTTTTCCAAATAATTTTGGTTTAGTATTTTTCGAATTAAATTAGATTTTTCGTTCTTCTCTAATTCAAATTCGAAATTCTATTTTAATAAGTGCACGGGAAAGAACAAATTAAATTTATTTGTTTCGTCTAATTTTTTAAAAAAAGCTATTTTTCCAAGGCAACTTTTTGAATGATTTCTTCCTTCCTTTTATTCATTTATTTGCGTTTTTTCATTTATAATTTCCTTTGTTTATTTTGCCTTTGCAGTAATTCACTGATCTGACTGATCTGCTTGGTATGTTTTCTTTCAGATTTAGATTTTTGTGCATGGCAAATGGGATTGAGAATGGAGCGCACTGATGGAATGACTGACGGTGAAAAAACGCTCGACTCGACCCACTCGGCCCCAACGCATTTACTGCTCGAATTGACCTCACTCGATGAATTAAGTTTTCCAACGTGTTCGTCGACGAGAATAAAGGTTTTGTTGATTTTGAAATATTATTTAAGAAAAAAAACCAAAAATTTTAACCTAATGCGATAAGTGCTCGGTTTTAAATAATAGGCTTGTTTATGAGGAATTTTTTCCATTATTCATGAGATAAAGCGGAAGCGAAAGATCGAGACGAAGTGCAAAGTTGCAAGGTTACCAATGTTAGACGGTAAAATAAAAGACGGAAAAAGGCGAAAAAAGAGGTTACTTTGCTGCAGTAAACTACAGATGAATAAATATGACGGTAGGAATAGCTAAATGAATAGAGAAAGTATCAAAAAGTAGAAAGTTCGCTTTATTTGATTTTACTTTTCAAAATAATTTTGAAATTTCATTATAATGACTGCTTTTTTTGATCATAAAAATGACGTAATAGAAATTAAAAATCTCACAATTTTTACATTTTATTTTTTTTCATTTGACTTTCCGATTTATTTAAACAATTAAGGCTGGTGCTTGATTAACTATCATTCTAGGTGTTAACTAAATAAGTCATAATCTGATTAAGCACTTAAACCGTAATATTGGCTGGGTCCATAAATTGGTAGCCTCTTAAGATCCGCTGAAATAAGAAGCAAAAGGCTCTCTCCTTTTTATTTTCTTTTTGTTTTAGTTATATTTTGTTTTAATTACATTTTTCAGTCTTTTTATTTTAAGTTTCATTAGTTTGGTACGTTGATTTTAGTATGTATGCTTAGACGCATCGCCTCGATTTCTAGTCGTTGGTACTTCAAGTGGGACAGTTTATTTATTTTCTCGATTTGCTTCAAAATATCAAAGCAGATTTAATGCAGTTCCTGTGCAGGTTATTTCAACAAAAGAAGGATCTGTTGCGAAGGTAAGGAGTTTTTTACTTTCTTTTTTTTTTCTTCTTTTTTATAATTGATTTACCCTGTATTTCACTATTTTATTTTATTTTCAAGATATCTTTTATTACTAACTCTATTCCTAATTGTTGATTTTATTTTTACCTTATTATGTAATTAAGTTGTCCAGTATATTTATTTTCAGCTATCAGTTTCACCGAACGAAAAATATTTAGCAATCGGGAATCAGACTGGTTTATTAACTATCGTAGCACTTTCGACACCTGGTCATCCGTCCTCGGCGATTCTTTCGAATCATTGTCACGTCGAATATTGTTTGTTTAATTTTTATTTAAATGTTTAAATGTTTAGATATTTTTTTATATTTGTGAGTTTAATAATTCGTTATAATGGTCGGTTGATACTGTTTTTTATTATTAAGGTTCTTATATTCTAATATTAATATTAATATTAATTTTTATTAACATTAAATTCATATTTTGATTTTTTTTTTCTTGGAATAGGTGGTTCCGGCGTGCCTAATCGCATCACTTATATACACTGGAATAGAGACAGCGAAAAGGTATACGCTGGAGACTTAAAAGGTCAAGTTAGCTGTACTCGAATTCAGGTAAATGGCAAAACATGTTTTATAAAGTTTTATAAAGTTTTTTCCACAATCTTCCCATTTCTGGTTAGATTCACTGCATTGGCTTGTCGGATCAGGTAGATTTTGCCAAGGCATTTACTTGATGAGTATGAGTATAGAGTTGCCAATAATGCCAATGACGCCTTGATCATTTGCAAAACAATCTTTTACTATATCATTTATTTATAGGGTAGGAATCTATTTCGATCGCCTTATGAAATTTTGTTGGAAACGGATAGCGAAATTATTCAGTTAGATACATTTGAAGATATTTTATTGGTTTCAACATTAACAAGATGCTGTGTCTGTGATTTAAACAGTCTTCAATGTATTCAGGTTCTCTTTCTTTCATTGATCAAAAAATTTCAACCAATAATAGATTTTCCTCTCTAACTTTGATTTAATTGCTTGTTAAATTGTTGATTGTTAGGTTGGCAAAAAACTTCGTAACGGTCGATTTGGTGCAATATTTCTGTCAGTTCGTCGTCAGCTTACTATTGGAAATCCTGATGCTAAAGCTATTGGTCAAAATGAGGGTAGTCTTGCATCACTGCGAGTAATTTTTGCAAGTCGTCCTAATGGTAGATTATGGGAAGCAAATGGTCAAGGCGTCGTTTATAGGTCAATTAATCAAAATAAGTCAAAATAATTTATATGAAAATATTTATAAAATATTTTATTACATCACTAATCCGTATTAAATAAGTTATGGAAAAAATAGTTAAAAAATATCAATTTTTTCTTTTTGAAATTTTTAAGAATTCTTCTTGCAGAATTCTTTTAATAATTCTCACCATTACTGGTTAGACTGGCTCCATTAGCTGAAAGGGTTTCCAAGCTATTCGGTTCGATGCCATCGTTGCCAACATTAGAAGCTATTCCTTTTTCTGTCGTCTAAGTCGATATATCTTTGGTTGACCTATACGTTCTTTCCTGACTGTATCTGTGTAGGTCGTCTTGATTGGTCCTGCTTGTTTTTAGCACTACCTATTACAGGATTAATAACGAAAAATTCTTGTGAATGGGCGATGAAGAACTCTCTAATCAGTAAAGACAACCCTCTTTGATGGTACTGTTAATGCAAGTGGTGTTAGAACAAAGGAAGCGATCGTGATTTTATCCACTCGGCGAAAGCCCGTAAAATATGCCTCAGAAATAAGTGGTCAAAAGCAGATAACTTCTTAATATCCTCTCCTCTTATTAAAATCGGGTATTTCCTCAACCGGCAATGAGTTTATAAAAAGAGACATATTTAATCAGCTTCTTATATATAAAACGAAAGCCTTTTCGTTTTATTTCCATTGACCCTGAGTCCAATTCTCGCTGTAGTTGTTTAGCATTATTTGCATTTCATCATATCTATCAGCAAAAAGAATTAAATCATCAGGGTATTCAAAATCTGTGGTACTCTGCTCTGGATTGGTTTCTTTTGAGTACCGACAAGCGGCTTCTATTATCCACTCTGTCGCATAGCTGAATGTTATAGGTGAAAGGATGCAACCTTGACGCACACCAGTTTTTATTTCAAAGGAGTCAATTCTCCATATATGACGAACGTAACAGCCATGTCCGATAGCATATCATGGTTAAGTTTGGCCTCAAAGAACTCTTTCCATCTTATGAGACGATCTTTAATACTTTTAACACAGGCACTATTACTATCCCTTACCATTTCATCGATCGTTCTCCGTGTTATAGTTGCTTTAAAGAAAACGCAAAAGTTTTCCTATTATCGCCTGATCGAGCCGCCTTCTCCATTCTCAAAGCCATGTCGCTCAAATACTAATTTCTTTCCTTCCTGCTACTGTCTTTAAAATTCTTCAACCATTCGGAGTCAGGATCTCTTGACATTCGTGCGTTGGCAGCATTTTCAGATAGTTGGACAGTTGCTTCTGATACCCAATTAGCACACTTCCTACTAGTATGCCCTATCGTGGAAATGGCTGACTTTTGGAGACATTCTTTTAGTTAGGACTAGTATTCATTTGCCGTTCCAGAAAAGTCACTGATATTTGTATTATTGAGATGCTTCAATAAATCAATTTGAAATGCGCTCACTATCCCTGAACTTTTTAATTTGAGATAGTTGAGGGAAATGCTATTTTTTGCCATTGTCAAGTTGTTAATTTTATGCGGGATCTTGACTCGGACCACAACATGATCAGATCCATGAAGATTGCCGGTTTCAGCGTCGCGAGAGGAACGATTATCTAATAGGATTAACGGTGATTGATCAAGATATAATCAGTTTGGATAAAGTGTTACTTATCCGAGGATTTCCACCTAACTAGATTTTTTCTACGATGCTAGAAGCAAGTATTAGTGACATAAGGTTCATGCTCTTCGGCATAGCGAAGAAGGCATTCCTCATTGACACACTGGTCTGCGATACCTTATTTACCAATTGTCTAGGTCATTGCAGTGGCACTACCTAGGCGCGCATTCCAGTCTCCCAAAATTATAACCATGCCATATTTCGGCAGAGATTTTCTTAGCGATTGAAGTTTCTCATAAACTTATGCCGATAAATTTTGGGGCATAAACACTGATAACCAAAATATTGCAGAACTTGCCTTTAAAGTAAGCATTGGTCATATGGTCTCTTACCAGTTTGACTCAATCAAAGCGGAATGGGCCTTGTCAGATATGACAGTCATTACGCCATTTCGCCCCGAGTTATCCGAGACACCACAGTAATACGGCCAGTACTTCTGCTCGGAGCCAGGATTACTCGAAATCAGAAATGAGGAAGGCAGGTCTTCGACACGTAGGAGACATCCGCACGATATTTAGGATGAGTGTGGACAATGATCACATGGCTTGTAACATCCATAAGCGTTCTAACCGTTCCACACTGGTACATCTAGCCTCTTTGCTACGCGTGTAGAGAGCCGTTCCTCTTGATAAATTTCAAGTAATTGTCCTAGCTTGTGAGCATATTTTATTTATGAATACTTGAATTATTTTACGCCCGGATTGTATACTTATCGCAATACCACCGGGCTGGAAGTATCATGCGCGTCAGAGGATAATTTTATCAAGATTATCTGACCCTTATGGATAAAATTACACGTGGATGCCCAGCAGCCACTCGGATTTCTAATGTAACAGGTTTACTTTTGTCGAAGACAAAGTTAGAAAGGAAAAATTTTTTTAAAAAATTTAAAATTAAATTTAAAGAATATATATATAAAGATTAATTTATATATATATATAATTTATATATATATATATATATATAATTTTATAATTTGTTAGTTAAAAAAAAATCTTAGCTTAATTGTAACTTGAAAGTTATAGAAGTAACATAATAGAATAGTAGAAACAGAAATGACCGCTCAAGAAACAAAATTTCTCAAAAAATCGAAAAAAAAATTATTGCAGAACTCACCAGTATAAAGATATTAATTGCGCTGTTCGCTTCCCTATTGTATCATATAATGAAACATTTTCATTAAGCAAAAACTGCTCGAACGGAATTCAAAAAAATCCATCTTTTGGTCGATTAAATTTGATACATTGTGAAGAGTAATTTGTCTTTTATCTTTGATTAGATTTTACCATTTTTTTTTATTTTCTTTTTCCTTTTCTTATTTTCTTTTCTACTTCTTTATTATTTGTTATCTTTTGTGTTGTCTTTGTCTTTGAATTCCTGGTTAAAATTATTCTTTTAATTATTTTTTCTAATTTTTTTAAATGGCAAGATTACCTTTTCCAGAAATGATTTTTTGTTGACAAGCGATGGCTTAGTGGTTTCTGTCATTGATCCATCAGATGGACGATTGGTGCTGAATAGTATTCTCGGGAAAGGTTCGGTTTTACCACTTCTTATAAATCGAGTATTTTTATTCTATTTCATCATCGATTTGATCTTTTTATGGGTTTGAAATAAATATTAATAATATTTTTAACCTCATTTAAAATATAAAAAACCATAATATAAAATGAATAATAAAATGGAACTTTCTGTGCTTTTTTTTCTGGGAAATCAAAGTACAACGAAAAAGTTGTCAAGAAATATGTATATATATATATATAAAGATTTAATTTAAATTTAATTTAAAAATATTTGATGTATGATTTCAATATCCAAATTTATAATTTAGATAATGTAAATGAATATGTGGTATGTGGTTCTGATGTTTTTTTGATGTGCGTGGAAAGCGGTAAATTACGTAAATTAAGTTTATTTACATTGAAGAAGGCAATCGAAAAGCTCCATTGGAGGCAATGCTACATGCAGGTTACATTCTTTATTTTTTTCATTTTGATTCTCCACAGTAATATTCTATTACTTATTACATTTTACTTATACTATTCCTTCGATTTTTATTGACGATTATTTTTTGCAAGAGTTAATGTTTATTGTAAAACCATAAGACGAGTGCGATGTTATAGTGTTATACTCATGTAAATCGCACGGATTATAGGAGTATCAAGTCCTTCAAACGAATTTTATATTAAATGATGCATTAGCACGAAAGTTAATCTTGAGCAAAGGCTACCATAGTTTATATCCTTCTTCTTCTAACAACCCTTATTATTACTGGTTAGGCTGACTTCGCTGGCTAAAATGGTAAGACGTCTCCAAACTATTCGGTTCGACGCCGTCGCTGGCAATATTAGAAGCCATTCCTTTTTCTATCGTCTAAGTCCATAAATCAAATCCATATATAGACTCTCTACCTATATTCAAAGTCTTTTCTGACTATATCAGTCCAGCCTTTCGACGCCTTCCGTCACTGGGTTTAGTTAACGAAATATATATCAACTCTTGCGTTGGGCGATGTAGAGCTCGTCCTAATGACGTTCTATGATGCTATGATATTTTGTGATACATATGGTATTTGAGTGAAGATGTATGCAACCATTTTGTCAGCTCGGCGGACCCGTTTAAAGACACATAGCTTCTGAACATCCTCCACTCTCAATGGCCATATCTCGCAATCTCGTAACAAGATCGAGTGAACTGGGACGTGGACTTTCGTTAATCTTGAACAAAAGCTAATTTGTATCCTTTTCTTCTTCGGTTATAATTATCTACATGGAAGTACCTCAATCAAATATCTAGCGAAGGTTTCCCAAGGTTGTATCCGTCATCACTTCGTTAACTCAAGTTTTGCTTGTACCATAATTTTGTACCATAATTTTTTTGTCGTAATGTGTGGCACATAGTGCCTATAATGAAATTTTATTCGAATAAAGTTGTTATTATTTTACAATTATTATTACTACTGTTATTATTATTATAGGCCGCGCTTGTGCTTGTGAAAATTCGGGATCATTTGGAAAGAATCGGTCAAGTGCCATGGAAAATGGAAACAATCAATGACATTTTATGTTGTATCAAAGAAAGAGAAGTAGCCAATTCTACTGAAGAATCTGAGGTACTGATTATTGAGGTTCTTTACTATATTTTTTCTGATAATCTTCCACGATATATCGCGGTATTTCGATTTTATTTTTGATTTTTTTGTTCTTTTTCTCATTTTTTAAAATTTTTTTCTTCTTTTTTATTTTTTATTATATTATCAAACTTCAATAATACTATCTAAATTCAATTAAATTCTTCTGTGAATAGAAAGACGTCATGGTTTCATCCTTGAATCAAATACTGGATATTATTGAGCAACAGAAGCAGTTGAATGATATTTCGTCATCAAAAGCCCAATCATCGGTTCAAAAATTAAGCACAGGTTAGTTTTTTTCATTTTTATTGACCCTCAAATGATCTGAATTTGATCGGACTAAAAATATTTATTTATAAATTCTTTATACATTTCTTATTTAGTTTTTTGAAAAAAAGAGTAATAATGAAGATTCTTGAATTATAACTTCTCAGAAACATATTAGCCTGATGAGTTTTAAAGTTTTGAAATATTTTTAAGGTATACATAAAGTGGTTAGAATTGTGGAAAATAGTGGTTATGAAGACGATTTTACATTTCGTGCGCCATCTCCTCTTCGATATCGAAGCAAAAGCACGCCTAACATAAAAGCTGGAGCAATGTTAGCTATATTCATTTTGAGCTTGCTATTTTTTTAATCTTACTTCATTCTTCACTCCATCAAATATTTTATCTTCAGGTCTGCATACATGGCTTGGAAGCGCCAAAGTTTGCCATTAAAAACCATAGACGACTCGTTTATCCAAGAAAATAGTGAAAACAAGGAAAGTATGACGCGTAATTTCATTCGCGACTATTTAGTAAATTTTTTACACTTTATTTCAATTTTTATAAGATGTGAGTTGAACAAGATATAAAAATTTTAAAAGCATTCTTCAAAGGATATAATTCAAAAAGTGGAACTGAATAGGATGAATCGAACAGTTTTCCATTCTTTTTATTTTTATTTCTATTTGATTAATTATATTTTTATTGAAAACCTTTTAAAACCTTTTCTTTTTTAGAAATATATTAATGGAGAACAAGATAGAATTGCTTCCTTAGGTGATTCAAATGAATCATTAAAAACTTTACTAGGATGTGAGATACAACAAATGCATTTCGATTCGCAGGTAACATTTTTCTTTATATTTCTTTATGATAATAATACGATCGATCAGAAATCATTCTTTCATCACATCCTATGATGCAAGTAAGCAAAAATAGAAATCTCTTACAATTAAAAGTATTATTTTCCTTTTAATTTCAGGTGACTGTAGAAGATATATCAAGAGATCTGGCTGCTGCTAAAAAATTTTTATCAATTATTGCAAATGATGGAAGTGACTGGAATAGCTATAAGAGAAAGGTATGTACTTCCAAATTTTCAAATTTTATTTTTTTTAAAACAAAAAATTTAAGGAGGGCAATTTTTAAAATGTTTCGTAGGAAAATTATTTAGCAAAAAATTTTGTCTTCAAAAATTTTGTTTTATCGGACTAATGATTCTATAGTTTTCTTCTCTTTTAATAAATCTTTATTAGCTTTTATTCAAATTTTTTGTTTTTTATTTTTGCAGGATCAGTCACCTAGAAAAATAAATGCAGATTTCATGGCCCTCTTTGGTCGGACAGATCCGTTAGAAAAATTAACCAAATATTCTCCAGACCTTTTCTCATCAAACGTAAAAGTTGAACGTATTGTGAATCGATCAAAGAAAGGAGCTCGTATAGTAAAAGCAATTAAACCTCATGGACGAATTAGAGAGGTTTTTTTCGTATTTTTTTTATTTGATTATTTCGATTTAATTATTTTTAGTTACATTTAGTACGATTTCATTAGACAATTTGTTTTGGAAATTTGTAATTTCTTTATCGTCCATTTATTATTTCAGGATAAAAATGGTTATCTGATAAAGGAAATGGAAAATGGCACTAAAAATGGTCCTGGAAGTTTTTTAACTAATTTCTCGAAAAATAACTCTCAAGAAAGTAAAGTCGTCTATAATCGTATAAATTCCGAGCTTGCTTCGGATTTACTATCAACAGAGCGATCAAATGACGCATCTTTAAGTCTGCAGACAAAAACTGATCGTACAAATATTACTGAATATAATTTTATAACGGATAAAAATACTAATTTAAGTTGGAGTGGTGATAATATTGAAGTTGTTCAAGCCGATGATTCGGCGGAAACTTTAACTACCGTTGATGCAGATGAAGAAATCGATCTTATGACAACAAGTAAAAATACCTCTGCAGTTTTATCGGCATCTTTTTCTGAAATAGTCAGCAATATTTCGCCAGAAAAAATCAGTGGAAACAAATGTTATAAATGTGGATTACACAGGTTGGAATAACTGCGATATTAAGAAAAATTTGGCGAAATACTTGTTTTACTTATTGTTTTTGATTCAGGTCTTGGCAGATAGTTTTCATTTTTGGTCCAGCGATGTCGCAACTTCAAGTTGTCGTGGACGAATTTAATGATGGCAAGTTAATATCAATTGTTGTAAAAAGTATTTTATGGCATTCTTTACACTTTTTCGAAAACTCGATGGGGATCTGATACATTTTTTTATCATTCATTTACGCCAATTTTTAATCAATTCCATTATTTATATTTAATAATAATATTTAGTCATTTTTTTATAGTACCATTAATATTTTTATATTTTTTATTATACTTTGTTTTTATAAACATTAATTCAGGTGGTGTACCTACGACAAGTGACCAATGGTCCAAGCTTTTTGAATATTATATTAATTTTGCTGACAAAAATATAGATTCTGGGAACGGTCTATGTTTCGACTGTTTATCATATTTCAATTTTGCTGGACGTTTGGGTATGTTTCCATCATTTTTTATAGTAATTTGTTGCAAATAAGTAGAAACTATAGAAATATTCTTGTATCTTATTCTAGTATTTATAACAATGTACTGGACCATTATAATCTCCTTCTGTTTTTCTCCGTTAGGCTAATAGATAAATAGGTATATATAAATATAGGTATAAATATCAATGCAATTTCGTCTATTTTTTGGTTTCTTGTTGAAAATTGAATTAATTAGCATCAAATTTTGATTTGTAGATATCAAGCAGTCTTATGAAATTTTCATCTTTTTTTGCATTTATAGATAGAAAGATTGAAGCAATAGAAGAACTGTTGAAAGTAGCACTTAAAAGAGACTTCGAAAAAGGACAAGATTTCAGTAATCTACGAAAGGAAGTACTTGGATGGGATGATGCTCTTATTCAAAAATTATTCTTCACCAATATTCTACGTATAATTTCCTTATAATTAAAATTATATCTTAGTATGTATTGCAATGATATAATGGCAAAATGGCAAATTTTTTGGGAAATAACCAAATTTATATTTGTTCATCTCATTCCTTATAAATAGTCATGATTAGTTTAGAGTCTGGGTCTCTACATACAACGAATTCGCCACAATGGATAGAAAAAGACCTTAATATTGATTCAAAAGAAAAAATAAAACAAGGTGACGATTCGAGTTTTCACCTTAGGAATTTCGCATGGCTTTCATCTGTTACGCTCTCTCAGGTTTTTTTTTTGCGATATGACTTTATTTTTCTGGGAGATATTTGTTTGAATATCCTGCCATGTCTTTTATCAACAAAATAATTTTATTGTTTATTGTTTTCAGTTACTGCTCTGTATGTTTTTATGTGAAGGCATCAACAAACTTTTCAATTTCCTGAAGAAACAACACGATTTAATTAGTCATTTGACTCCACAAGATTGGAAATGGTTGATAGCGATAAAAGCATTCGAAACAGAACGCTTGAAATACATTATGCCGTACAAAGTTAGAAAATAATTGATATATTCAAAATTTTTAAAGGTTAGAGAATTTCACTAGATATTTTTAGTCTCAGTGAAAATTTATTTCAGACCATTGATGATTTGTTCGAGGAATTCAAGATAAATTGCATAAAAGATATTGGTCGGAGTCCAGCTGATAGTTTCAGTATAGCGCAGAAAATGTCCAATATGAACCAAGGATCTACTAGTATTTCCATTGCAATTGACGGGTATTTTCCATTTATTCAATTTATTTATAAAAATTTTTTCATGTTGTCAGATATAAATTTAAGGAATTGTCTTTGTTGCACACTGCCTTTAAAATCTCGCGTATCGGATTCTGATGGTAATATAGTGGCTTTTTATTGCGGTTAGTTTTTGTTTAGTATTTTTTATATTGCTTTACTATTTTTTGGGTCTCATTCCTTTACTTTTTTTCTTAATTTTATTTTTCTAAATAATTTAAATAATTTTTTTAAGGTTCTAATTTGAGGAATAAAAGTGAAGTATTCATTATATATTTTACAATTTTAAAGAGATTTTTTTGAAAATTCTGCTGAAATATGGGTCATTCATTTTTCATACAGGGCATTCCTACCATAATATCTGTTTGCGTGAGGCTAATATATCACGATGTATTCAATGTGAAATTCAACGAAGACGTCGACGTCAATTTCCAAATTCGCCAAATAGCATTGTTAATCAACAGCAAAGCCACGGTATAACTAATCAACAACATCTAACAAATTTAACCAGTGGTCACCAATATGTTTCACGTAGACCAGCATCTGCTACAGTCACATCTACACGTCATATCGCAGTTCATGCTGCTCATGTGAACGTTACATTAACTGCGAAAAATCAAAATAAAAATCCGCAAATTTAAGAGATATTCATGGCCCTTTAAATTAAGGGACTCCAGTGCTCAATACATATTTTTCTTAAAATTTTTATTTATTATTGGCATATTTCATTTTAAGTATTTGTATTTGAAACTATGTCTTATAGGTGAAATTGCCTTAATGATCGACTGTTGAAAGATATTTAGTGCATCTAATTGTTGACATCAATTATAGGTATCACTTTTTAAAGCTAATTTTGTTTAACTTTTGTATTTTCCAGTTTTTTCTTTAATTTACAATCAGGCTATCATGGAAGTTATTGAATCAAACGCGAGCCTATCTCTAATTTATATTTTGGTTTAACTTTATATTTTATATTTTTATATTTTGTATTTTTTTATATTTATATTTTGGCTTAACTTTAACATCTGTGATGCAATAAATTTTATATTTTTTATGGTAGTTAAATTTAAAAAGTTCATTATCACTAAAGACTTTATGAATAACTTTTTTATGCGGAAAACTCAGTAAATCCTTATATATATATATACTTTTATTGTAATTATGCTTGCAATTTTTATTGCTCATTTGTGCCAAAAACGCTAGTGCTATTTAATTAATTGCTTCCATTTTTATTATTTCTTTGCTCATTTAGTGAATTTTTGCTTTCATCAGCATTGCTTCATTGTTTCATATTTAAACCGGCGGAATGAGAGGATAAAGTACTACTGTTTCTCGAATATTTATGCAGTTCCATATAATTCTTTGAAAATGGAATTTCGGTGATAATATTGGCATTATTTGCATAATCATTTTTCTATTCAAAAATTAACTGACATTTTTAGACAAGTGACATGTCACTTTATTTATTGAACGAAAAGACAAATGTATATGAATAAATATTCTTGATTTTCAATTTTACATAATTATACATCGATTACAGCAATCAAAACATTGAAACAAAACAAAGTTGAATTGGATGAACAGAACGATTTCTGCAAATGCTGATACTCCAGCGCTCCAGCAGCAACTTTTGTGGTTGGAATTACTTATAATCTCTTCACTGGCTTGGGCCAGGCCAATTTAGCCAAGAATTTTATCTGGCGATAGGAATACAGGTAAGCCACCAGCATTACTCGGGAAAAATTGACCATACAAACTTCATGAAACAAAAATAAGCAGAAATAAAGATTCTCAAGAATAACAGAAGTTAGAATTTTTTGCTTCGATGAAATTATAAAAAAAAATGAGCCAGGAAATAAAAAATTTAAAAAAATGAATAAACGCCGATAAACACCGAAGATATTTTAATTTACACTGAAAATTTTTTGAAGAAAAATATATATCTTTCATCCACTTCTTCGAAGATATATATCAAAGCTATAAATATGGAGTGAAGAAATGAAATCTAATTTCCACCAAGTGTTCGACCTTGTCCCCACACGTGTCCTCCACCACCTGTTTCTGGTCGTCTATTTGAAGGAGCAGAACCGAAGCCATGAACACCGCCAACACGGCTTGGGAACCAATCATACCTGAAATACCTCGGTTAAAACAACATATAACGCAACATTTGGAATAAATTCAGGCTGAATAGAATATTCTTTTTTTATTTCAAAATTTGGCAGCTCACTAATTAAGGATGACCTTAACCTTGAATGGTAATTAGATGGAAAAATTTTTTTGATCATTGTTTGCTCATTGCATTTACAGAATTAACGGAAATAATGAACATTCATGAATAAAAGAATAAAAAAATAGGGAAAAACGCAAAAATAAATGATAAAAAATTAGAACAAATTAGAAGCAAAAAATAAAATTATGCGCATTTTCCTAATAAAGCATGAAAAGCGGCCAAAGAATATGCAAAGGATGTCAACAAAAATGCCAAATTTTATGTCGAAAATAGACAATACTAAATCGTTGAAATCAAAGGCTTCAGTTTCTTCCAAGAATAGAAAGGTTATTTCAATTTTTTTTTAAAAAATAGCAATATCTTGAACATGAAAAAGTCTAAGGGCAAGAATTATATAGAATAATTATAAACATAAAAAACAAACAGAATCTGCGGTGTGGTGAAAAATGTACGACCGCCAAAATCTTGCGGATATTTAAACATGACAAAATAATACGAATGACCGACTAAAATTCCAATCAGTTCTGCCATAACATTACCACGAAGAATTAAATTGAATCCAATAAGTATCCATGGCAAGTACATCGCTCTAAATTGACTGCCGAACCAAAATTGTACAATTTGATCTTTATTTAACTGACACCAGATGTAAAGAACGCTCAGAACCATACTATCAAGCAAGAAATAAACGCCTGCTGCCAAAGAAAGAATCTTAAAAAAAAAATTGATTCAACTAAAGCGAAAATAGAAAATTAATTTTATTTTTAATTTTACTTAATTTAATTTTACTTAATTTGATTTTACTTATTTTAATTTTACTTATTTTAATTTTACTTAATTTCAAAAAGCCAATTTCTAATTTCAAAACATTTTGTGCAAAAAATTGTGGCAATTTTTATAAATTTATAATAATGAAAATTCGTGTTTAGTGGAAAAAATTAATTGCTCATGAAATTATAGCATAATAAAATTTTAAAAATTCTTTTTGTTTAGACAAATAGATTTTTTTAAAAAATCGTAGAATATTCAACAAAAATAACTTACAGTACAAAGGATCCAGTTGAAAATGAGAAGAAAAAGATAATCTGCAGGTCGAGAATCAAAAATTCCTGTTTCCAAACTTTTTGAATAATTATATAGGAAATACAACATTAACAACCAATGAAAACCCGTATTTGGTGTAATTGGATAAAAGAAAAGTGCTGTTATGGGCCGCCAAATCTAAAATAAGAAAAATATTCAACATCAAACAAAAAATAATTGGAAAATAGGATCAAGCGAGATTTTTCTACAAAAACTTGTAATTTTAAATTTTAAAAAATGTGGAAAACCTAAAATTCCACTAAGATAAACCTGAAACTTATAGAAGAAAAGATTCCATTCGAGTAACATATAATATGCACTAAGAAAACCTATTCGACCAAGCAATGGCAAAACTGTTGAACCAGTGAACCAGTACTTAGTAATTTCTGGTATACTTCGGTACCAATCGCCAAATTCCGACATCCTACAAGAAAAGAGAAACCCATTATTTGTCGTCAAAGACTCCGAACTAGGAAATTATTAGATTTTAATGCAAATAAACATAATAAAAAATTAAAAAACAGAAAATGTAACTCCTTTAAGAGTTCTCTAAAAATTTTTGATAATTTTACTTCCAAAATTTTCATAATCTCTCCGCAAATCTAAAATTTCATAAAATTTTTTACGATTTTTAAAAATTTACTTTTGTAAATTAAAATTTACAAATTAAAATAAATATTAAAATGATTTTTTTGCGGCTCGTAGAAATTCTTCAGAAATTTCACGAATTTAAAAATTAGCTAATTACAATCCAACCAACAGCCGAAAATTACAACCCCTCTCATGAAAAAATGTATGCTTGCAAAATTTCAAAAAATGCCGAAGGAATCGTCAGCACAATTTATACCGTAAGCAAACAATCGCCTTAAAATTTGCAGATACTGAAAAATTTAAAATTTTTTTGTTTTATCTGGAAATTTTCAATTTTTCATAAATTTTGAGGTGGAATATTAGTTATATCACGAATTTTGTTCTATATTTTGGAAATCAATTATCAAAGATTCGTTGAATTTTCGAAGTTCTGCTCAAAAAAAAGAATTCGATATGAAGCTGTAACTAATGGTTATTGATTAATTTTTAATTTCATATTTCTCCTTGCTTCTGGTTAGTGTGGTTGAAGGGGGGGAGGAGTGCTCATTTTGCTAGGTTTTGGAAAAGGAGAGGATGTTGTCAGTAAAAAGGAGTGGTATTTCCATGCGGAGAATAAGCCAGCCATTTGTTTTTTCTAGGTTGGTAAGAGAGGAAAAGACGACTCAGTTAAAGAGTGCGAAGTTATAACTGAGTACGATTGGAAAATTCTGATCCTTGAAGGGATAAGTGCCACGGATCCGAAGCAAATTACCAGTTCCGAAAGTGATCCCTCGTGTCGCTTGCTTTTGCATCATTTATTTTATTTTTAATGATTTATTTTATAGTTAACATCTTAAAAATTCAAAATTTTATATTTTTATATGTTCGTTTTCGGCTTTATTTTTCATCCCTTTATTATTTTTATGGTTAGAAAAGGAAAACTAAGAGAAAAAAGGACGAACTTCTCTCCTATCCGATACCGGCGGTTACTATTATGCACAAATATGTTTGCGCCTCGTTTTCTCTTTCTTTACTTTCTTTTAATTATTTTTTGTATGTCGCACATCTTTGTATCGTCGAATTTCCTAATAAAATCGGATAAATGGATGTTGGTTGATCGAAAAAAATGCAGCGAGTTCTTCTTAGACTGACCGATTTTACTTTTATTTAATTTTAATAAGAAAGTTTCGTAGTTTAGCGCTTTCATTTCAGTCATTTCTCAGTTTTTTGTAATAAAATGTTTTATAGGTATCTAATGAATGAATAAAATTTGGATAGTGTAGTGTAGAAGGAGATAGTGTAGACTTGTTCTAATCGTCTTTTATCCTGTTTCTATGCAATTATTTTCCTATAATTTTTTTCATCTTTTGTTATCTTGTGTATTCAGAATAAATGAATAAATGAATAAAATTTGGATAATGTCGCCAAGTGGCGAAAGCAGTGTGCTACCACAACCTCGGTGCCACAAATCTGACGATAGGATTCGGATTAGCAATTTGCCTTATCAACAAGGATCAAGAAGGATCAATTGATGAAGAGGAAATTGATAAGGCATTTTCCTTCATTCAAGAAAGGTGCATGAGTAGGTTAGTGGCAGTATGGTTGTTAACAATGCATTGAGAATATCTTTTGCTTGAATTCGTCCATTATTTCGTCGAATGGTACTGTGGTAAACAATGAGCGCAAAAAGAATTGAGGTTTATAAATCAAAAATAGATTCGAACTATATCAATCAAAATTAACATAAAAAAATTAAATAAAGCCACTAACAAATAAGCAACAGCTCAGCAGTTAGTTGTCAAAGGGCCAATGAAATTGATTCCAAATAGCAACCTTTGACAATTTGAATAGTTAAAAGCTTGCTTTCAGAATCCAACCAAAAGAACCAAAAAAAGTGGACCTCAAAAATAGCATTTTGTTTTCGCCAGATTTGGCAACAGATGGATTGGCTGATTCGTTAATTATCTGATTTATATCATTAAATATTCTGAAATGTCTGAAAATGACATGAATATTTCAAAGAAATATTTCAAAGATTTTTATAAGATTTGAATAAAATCTCTAAATCATTACTAAAAATCTAGGAAAATAATTAATAAAGTTTAGTGGAAAAAAAGTTTAAAATCAATTAGAATTTCATCAAGAATTTTCTTATTTATTATTGATTATATACTTTTCGGTTCTTTTTCTATTGGCGAATATTTCGTGCAATTTTATATTAATTTTTTGATAAAATATTAGAAAAAATGTTGCTTTCGATTTTTCGATAAAACCTGTTTTCGATTTTATAGAAACTCTTTGTTTTTTGTTTTTAGCATATGTTTTGTGAAAGTTTTATTATTCTCGTTCGGAAAGATGAATTTTTTCTTAAAAGTTGCTTATTTTGCTTAATATAGCGTAATCGCCATGGTTGTTGAAGCGATGTGTTTTCTCTTTATTTTTTCATTTGTCTGTGAGAGAAGAGATGGAATTAATTTTGGTGTAATTTTGGTAATTATATTTAGTACAGTTTGTCTGAGTTCGTCTTTTGCCTTATTTGAGTCAAAGTAAATTATTAAATTTTAGCTCATAGCTGCAATTGTCAGCTGATTAAAATTTTCTAAATTTAATTCGAAAAAAAATTGAAAATGCCTTTTGATTAAAGAAGGAGATAGTGTAGACTTGTTCTAATCGTCTTTTATCCTGTTCCTATGCAATTATTTTCCTATAATTTTTTTCATCTTTTGTTATCTTGTGTATTCAGAAATTCTGGTGATTCTTGATATATTTATTTTTCATTTTTAGAAAAAAAATGTTGCAAGAAAATGAAGAAAGTGTTGTATTGTTGATTCGTTGTGCATTACAATTATTTGAGGATATACGAATCAATTTTCCGATTGATTCAACTGTTCTTCAGTTAAAAAATAAGTTGGCAGATATTTGTCCATCGAAACCCGTGAGTTTTTACTTTATTTTTTGTCTTCTTTTAATCCAAAATCTTTAATAAATCCTTCAAAGTTCGCATCACTTTGTTTGCTTATTTCTTAGAAATACGGGTGATGTTTGAGGGCGATAAACTACTAAATATTTTTTGCGGGAAAGTATTTACCTTCAATTAGAAAAAATTATTTATTTGTATATATGGATTATTTGCATAAAATAATAAATCTTATTGTTGGGACAGTATTCGTTATTCGTGTGAACTGTGTTTAATGATTATTGAGTGAATTTTATGTATTAATGATTAGAATGAAAAATACTATTTATAAAGTTCTTTTTTTTTAGTCCTTTCAAAATCCATAATTTTATTTTTTTACGTTTTTGAAATTAAGGCTAAACCGTTTTAGGAAGTAGGTCGTCAACGTTTAATATATGCAGGGTATTGTCTTCAAGATCATCATACACTTCGCTCAATTTTTGAATGTCATTCGGCTGATAGTGATTTTTATGTTATTCATCTTGTATGTCCACCGGCAGTCCTTAAAGATTTAGATAATCTTCGGCTGCGTAAAAAACCTAGGTTATTAATTTGTTTACTTCAATATTGTTCTGAATAAATAATTTTTTAAGATGAATTTTATTTCAGCAGTTCAGATTCATCACACTCTTCATCTCAGCAACAGCAACAAAGGCAACAACAACAACAACACGAAATGCCGAGTACACAATCGCTAACTTCATCTCCTCCTTACTCTTATTATCCTTGGCAGCCGTGGCCAAATACTAATTACTTTATACCATTCGATTGTAGCGATCCTCAATTTTTAGCGACATATAATGCTTATATGGCTTCTTATACCAATTAGTAGGTTTTTTATATCTTTGTTATTATATTTTTTTGATTTATATTATTTATATTTTCTTTATATTTATACGATGTGTATAGTGTCTTTTCAGTATTCAGCAGATATTCAGTAATAACGGTGATTCTATTCCTAATATAAATCAACATCCACTTGGCTTTCAATTTCTTAATCAAGCGGCTAGTGTTCAACAACAGTTACCTGAACAAAATGTTCAAGTATGAACCATATTTTTTCTAAAAAACAAAAACTAAATAATTTTAGAATTATTTCGAGATTTGGGTTCGAATCCGGAGGATGCATTACGCTTTCTTCAGGTAGAGAAAGCAGAGAGAATAGAATGGCTCAGTGAGTTGCTTAATTCTGAGTACTGGTACTGAGGTTCTATTCCCGATAGAAGCAAATTTCATTTCTCCTTCAAAAATCCGGGTAAAGCTAGTGGCTTACCTGTATTTCTATCGTCAAGAGATATTTACCCAATAAGCCATCGAAGTGTGTTTAACTAGCAATCTCTTAAAAAAAAAATTATTATATATTACAATGTTAGAATTTTTCTTCATATCCTTTTGTTTTATCATTTTAATTACATGTTTCACTTCGTAAGATTTATATTCTAAAATATATAAAGGCTCAGTTAGTCCAACACTTATCTGGTTTATTTTAATATTGTAACGTTGTATCCAGTTTTAGGAAGAAGCAGGAAGGGTAGATAATAATAGACAAGCTGTTGGTGAAGTAGTGCAGGATGCGATGGGAGGCGTTATTGGTGGCATTGAAGACCCTCAACGAGATTTTTTAGATACAGTTTATAAGGTAAATAAAAAATTGTTTTGTAGTTCGGTATGGTAGATGAAAATATTTGAAATCCATAATAGATTTATCAATGCTTTCATTGCATTTACTAATTATACTTTTTTTAGACTTAGATTTGCTATAATATTATAATAGCAGTTAATTCCAGGCTATTCGTTTGTGTTTTCTCATAGTTTTGGTCTATGCATATTCAACTCCTGAACGCTTTATTTGCGTTATCTTATTCATTCTTGGATTATGGTTTGTACAGGCGAGACGTAATCAAAGGCTAGATCGAGAACAAGCTGAAAGAGCAGCACAACGAAACCCAGTCGAAGCTCCAAATATTCTTCAGTCACAGGTGAATTTATTTATAACTTCAATTCACATATTCACAACAAGATGGAATGGCCTTGAATATTCTTTAAAATTTTCTTTATTTATTTTCTTTATTAAATTCTTTTCTTTTTTATTTTTTTATCATATTCTTTATTATATTTTTTATAAGTTATACAAATTTTTTTATTGTTCTTTAAAATTTTGGTAATAAAATTTTTTTGAACTATGTAACAGGTCATTTTTTAAGGCTACTGAAAATTCCTCTGAAAATAGAAATAATGATAATGGAATACAAGATGAAAGCTACGAAGCAGCTTATCGTGAGCCCACAGCTTGGACAGTTTTTTGGTCTACTTGTTATACTTTTATTACTTCATTTTTCACTTCTCTTATCCCAGATAATCCGGTTCCGGTTAATGTAAATTAATTGATTTGGAATGTGTTGTTTGTTATTCTTATTTTATCATTCTTTTGTCGATTTTTTTCTTATCGTCTTTGTTAGGAAAAGACTAGCAGCAATTCGAAAATTTAAATTATCATTATATTTATCTTGGTTCTAAGCATTATAGAATCACGATATTTGATTAACATATATGACATAGTTTTAGTCCGATTTTAAAGTTTCTATTCAATTCTTGTTTTATAAAAAATTCATGAAAAAATTTTATTTCAGCCTTATAGGTCGTTATTGATTTATATTTCTTAGAAAGTTTCAAGAATTGCTAAAAGGTTATATCATTTTTTTAATCATTTAGTTTAAAGGGCCTTATTTATTTCGTGCAAAATAGTCATGGTTCATTTGCATGGTATCACATAATGGATGGTTTTACTCGTTATCTACTTCGAAGCAATTTGGAAATTTCCGCTAATTTTTATTCACAAGTTTCTCATTTGGGCCTTCAATACATAATCTTTCGCTTTGTAATTTGTAATTCAAATTATCTACCTGCTTTTTTATTTCTGTCTTCGCTTTAATTTCGTTTTTCGCTTTTTTAAGTTCCAACTGAATGATATTTTATTTTTTATTAATATTTTATAACATATGCGTGAGAATATATTCAAAATTATTTAATAAAGAAAATTTCAATATACAAAGCGATATTTTGCTCACAATTGTGTTTCATGAATGGAATTGCTGATAAGGAAAAACTTTGCAGAGATTTATTAGTAAGTTAATCTTAATCGGCGTTCATAATCTTTAAACAATCGCTCTTCTGATTCCAATAAAATTATTGAATTAGTCATTATTAACTTTGTGGGATATATTTTCAGTCAAATCTAATAAATTTTGTTGATAATTTCAGTTTAAAATTCTGAGGTTTCGCAGAGTAATTAAGATGAAACTTGTTAATTTAAATTAATAAGTTAAATTTGAACTTAATTAATTTAATTATTTCTCAGCGCTGTCAAAAAATGTCCTCGCATTTTAAAATTAACAAAGGGAAATCAAATTTAAGATTTGAAAATTTCAACTTTTGAAAGTCTGTTTTGTCGTTTGTCGTAATTTCGTTTAACATTATCGACAGCACGTGGCTCATGTCGCTACTCGTTTTTTTAATTACCTATCGAACAGCTAGAGCTCCTCCTTCCACTGCCCGTTAATACAGTTAAAAATTTTTGTTAGAAGATCGTTTGGCGATAAAATTATAGGTGGATCTTCAGTACTTTTCGGGTTTTTCAATGAAAGGCTTATTACCGTTGAAAGCCGGTTTTTTGATTCTCAACACGATGATCTAAAATATTAGTTGGTCAGTTGGCTTTCTCTTGTATGCACTTAATACGCTTAATTTGTGAATAATTAAAAAAATTAAAAAATTTTTTAAAATTATTTTTTTCAAACAGCTTCATTGATAAAGAATAAATAAAGAAAATTTTTGTATGAAAATTTTCATATGAATTACTCACGGTTAAAACAACAATTATTATAACAAGTGTTTTTACATACAAAAAAAATAAATTTCGAGATCTCATAAAAGTGGCACCATGATCTTTGTTTCTCATTGTTAATCCAGTTAAAAGTGAGATAACCTGAGGGTGAACCTTAAAATCCGATGGTGCTTGCCGTGCAGTTTTTTATTCCAGATTATGTAAGACTATCTGCAGTTAGCGAGAAGTGGTAAGTGCTGCTAGAAGCCCGCGATGAGAATAAAATCAGTGGTGTCACCAAATATTCAATTATCACACCATTCGCTTTGGTTCATTACATCGATATTCATAAAAATATTTGAACGAAAGACAAAAGATAAAATTAGAATCCAAGTCTAACCGAAATTAATTAAATAAAAAAAATCACAAAAATATTAAAATTCCAACATTGGAAATAATTTTCCTCAATATTCAAAGGGCTTTTTTACTTATTTTTTGGATAAAAATCATTTATAAATTAAGAAAAATGAATGAATGAAACGAAATGTTGATTTATAATTTTCGCTACCATAAGTCCGTAATTAACATATAAAAAAAAATTGGACTTTATTTGTTAAAGCCTATTATTGAATTTCTGGCTTCAAGCTTACACCGGGATTTTGGAGATAATTTGTTCGAAAAACCTAATCTTTTCAGGGATATTTTATCTAAGAATCGGTGTTGGTGTTGTGCTCGTTACACACTGTTCTTCGCGCATAAGCGTTGCATCATCGCTTTCGATCACCTTAGAATGAAGTTCTACTGACGGTTTGCATGGTGTTGATTTCCAGTGAGTGCGGAGACCAGATGGCGAAATGTACTTTTTACCACAACCTGAACAAGTATACGGTCGTTCGTTGGTGTGAAGTCGTTTGTGTAGTTTCAGATGTACAAATTGCGTGAATTTGGTTGAACAAAGATCGCAAGAATAAGGCTTCTGACCGTTGTGCAAACGAAGGTGAGTTTTCAGATTCGATGTGCTGCTAAATCTCTTTTGGCATATTTCACACTGATGTGGTTTTTCACCTGTAAAAATATTCTCCTCGCACCTTTTTTAAAACAAATTCTTTAGAGAAAATCATCATGCAATCGTCGTATAAAGCGGAAAGAGGAAAGAAATGAGATTTCATAGATATAAGGTGAATGTAAGGTCTACGAAAGTTCCTCTCACCAATATGACCAATTTCCTGCAATAATAGGGGTTTACGGTCTTTTAATAGGTTTTAATGAAAAACCTGTATGTACAAGGTGATGTTTTTGTAGATGTGCCAACTGAGTGAACTCTTTCATACAAACATTACATTTGAATGGCCTTTCTCCTGTATGAGTCCGTAGATGAACTTTTAGATTCGACAACTGGCCGAAAGTTTTATTGCATTCTTTGCATTCGTAACGCGTTTTGCCATTAATTTGAGACTGCAGATACTGCAATTAATTTAATTTCTATTATTTTGATAATTCTTGAAATTTGATAAGACTGTTTTTTTAAAATATTCTCTTATTGGCTGAGAAGTATAACAGATTAGCAAGAAATGTATTGCTGAAAATAAAAGGATTGACCTAGATCTAATGTTGACCTAAATTAACGCCTTTGATCTAGATTCCTTTTGCTTCAAAAATGATTCTTTTTTCCATTGTCCCATGGACGCAGACATTCCGTATTGCCTTAGATTTTATTCTTTAGTTGTCGAATGAAAATAAGCATACAGAAGAGGACTCCATTCTCCAGAGATTTATTAGGATAGACCTACAGATAACTGAACCTTCAGAATCATTTTAATTTCGTTACGGCTTAAACTAATTTAAAAATTCAATTTATCATATCATGAAGTGCAAATATTAACCTTCTGAATAGGATATGACTGCGCTCTGAATGATGTTGAATTACTTGATGCTGCTTGAAATGCAGTTGGAGATGTTGCCAGGGGGGGTGGGTGAACACTTAAAGGAATTATTGGTTGAGGCTGAGAGGCAAAAAATGAAGTTTTAGTCGGAGTGGTCGAAGAATATAATGCACCACCAAAAGTCGCACTAAATGGTGGGCTAGCAGTAGCTGCAAATGCAGGTGCAGGTGAATATGCCGGCGGTCTATTCGGCGAACATGGACGGGCAGAATGTGGTGAAGCACCATGATTAGGCTGTGGTGGCACCCAGATACCACCCGATGCTACATTCAGCGCCGAACTTCGTCTAATAAATTCATGCAATAGTGTGTTATAAGGATTCATAGGACCTGGTTGCAAATGTGGCAAAGATGAAGCTACATGAGGAAGTGAAGTTTGAGGTAGTTTTGTGGCGACGGGGCGATGGACAGGATTTTGAATAACATTTGGTCTCGTAATGGGTTCATCAGCTGGAGGTGGTGATCTAGGGGACGACCTGAAAATACTAAAAAAAATCTCTTGTGAACTTTTTCATCATTAATCCAATATTAATTTAGTAATAAGCGATAAAATTTATATTGAAATCGTTCAAATGACAAACATTCCGCTGCAAAGTTTACATGCACAATGAGCAAGCTGGTGCGATTTGCCCAAAAAATGGGAATTTAAGTCAACTACTTAACTACTTTCTCAGAACCTGTTCCTGATTTTTAAAAATAATATTATAAATATCGATAAACATTTTACGTTGAAGAAAGAGACTTCGTGCTTGAAGTACAATCATCACTGAGAATCTGAGTAACATCACTAGCTGACGATGGTGAGCTCGTAGTGCCAAGGCGTTTCGATATTACTTTTGCATTGGCCTGCAGAAAATGTATTATAATATTTTGCCAGAAACTAACCACTGATGATATCAAATTTTGATATCAAATGAAGTAAAAAGTGAACTAAAAAATTCACCTCTAGCGATTTTTTAATTGAGAAGTCTATCGCTTGTTGCGGTGATGATGATTGTTTTCGTTCTTCAAAACGATTTGTATTAACTGAACCTACTTTATCACTCCTCGTTGCTGAAATTTTTATCCTATATTACAGCATTTAGTAATGTTTTTCGCATCTTTACCGTACTTTATAGCTAAATTTTGCAGTTTTTTGACTAAATTGGACTAAATATTCGAGAGGGTAATAAAGGAAAGAACAAAACAATTATCAGTGATATCAAAAATGAGCATAAGAAAAGAAATTTGACCTAAAGGAGTGATGAACGAGGAATAGTGTTGCATTCCAATCATTGGAAATCGACATACTTAAATATCATGTAAAGGCCTTGTAATTTCAAAATCAATGCTAAGCGATTCGCTAGCAATAACAGGGAAATAAAGCTAGGAAAAAGAACCTTTCGACTGAACTGGAGGTGACCATTGTTCACAAGAAGACGGGAAATTTATTCTTCGTGCGTAATCTCTGCTATACCAATAAAGCAATTCGCTATTAGGCTTTATTGCTTTGACTGAATAAAAGTAGATTTCATTATTTATCTGAAATATTTTTGCATAAATTTTCTTTTTAATTTTTCCAATCACTCGCTGGTTGTCTTTCAAATTATTTACCGAGCCATAAAGCCATCAGATATGGATTTAAACATTCGTGATCGACGATGAATGAATCGGTGACTGAAGTGAGACGTTCAGCGTTTCACCTATACGAGAATAAACAAATCATTAAAAGTGAAATCCGGCAAACTGAAGAATCTTCTATTTTCGAGTGACTCTATAGCGAAATGGATGCCAGCAAGTGGAGCCAGCCGAACCAGAAGTAGTGCGCATAGAAAAAGAAGGAAGGAATTTCATGGTCAGAAGACTGGATCAAATATTTTCGAAAAAGATTTAAGAAAACACTTGCTATTTGTAAAGTTTTCTCCTTCAAAAAAGAATTCTTTCGAAATGCACGTTCGCACAGTGAGATTTCTATTTTCTTTTTTTCCGACGCAGAGGTTCGTGGACAATGGAATCTCATCGGCGACGAAAAAACAAGAGCCTAAGCCAACTACCGCTTGGCTTCTAAACTCGTTCCAGCTCCATTTCGAAATAACAGTGCAAATTTTGGGAATTACACAATCCTTCTTTTTCATTCTTGGTTTTTGTGTGAATTCGATAAAAATTATTTCGCAATTATTTTTTTTCTGAAGAAAAATTTCATTCTAAAAATAAAAAAATTACTTGGCAAGCAACCAAATTCTGCGAATCCTTGGATTTTGCCGGATTCACATATTTCATCCAATTACTTTTTTTGTCATTTTTAGCATCAATCATCTTCACAAGTATACTACCACTATTGCTAAAAATTTTCCATATTTGATTCCATTTGTATTGATTTGGAATATATTCGCCATCCATCTGATTTTGGCAATTAACACCAGCTGCAGCACCTTCTGCTGGACATACCGTTACTTCAGTGATATGTGGTTTATGATATTCGCCTATTAATGGACCAAATCGTACACCTCGTGGTATATAATCCATACTCCATACACCGAGTGACTGGAAGAGAAATTCGTGACGTATGATTGTTTAATAATCGTACCATGATTTCGGTGCATTAAATGCAATGTTTTTAAAAGTAAAAAAATTTTAGGTTTATAAAAATTGATAGTTGCTTTGAGCAAAGAAAACGATAAAAAGATGCGAATTAATGTAACACACTTTTAGTTAAATTTTAAGAAGAAAATCAATGAATTCAATTAAGAATAAATGTTTAATAAAGTTTTTTACTTCAGTAATTTCATGCGAAACGCGAAGTGTCAAGTTTAATGGCAGCGAAGTTGTCGAGCGATTATTTGGATCCTTGAAAAATAGAGAATAAAATTTTAAAAATATCGTGTCGAAAATATTTGGCCACATTTTTTTTAATATTAATTCAATATTAATATAATTTTATAATTTTATTTTATGTTATCAGAAACGCTTTAACGCTTCATTTTATGAGTAAAAATCAAAAATATAAAGAAAAATTTGTAGCACTTGGTGCTCGAGCGGTTTATCAGGTACATGAAAAACACAAAGCTCAGCAAAATTGTTTTCCGACATACTTGTCCAATCCCACTCACTTGATCGGTGCGTGGTAACTGATTCACTTTCTTGTCGTGACAAACCGACTAAAATTTTTCCATTTCTTTAAATTTATTAATATAATCTGACCCAAAGTTAGTACGAATGCATAAATAGGTACTGAGAGTGGGCAATACAACTAGTCAATTGTTATTTCAGGTTCCCATATTATTACTACTGTTATTTATTATTTATATCAGCTGAGAGAGGTCAACAATAACTTATGAATTTAGTGATGGGAACAAATAGCACCAATAATAGTAATAGATGATGTGAACTATCTTTAAACATCTTTAAATGATATATATTTTAGCACTTTGGGAAGAAATTCAGCCCGTTGAAAAATTACCCCTAATTATTTTTATTTTTGCGCAAGAAAATTCCATCAAAAAGAGGCTCTAAAAAATTTCAGTTTCAATGATAATAATTCAAACGGTTATTTGTTTAATAATCGTACCATGATTTCGGTGTATTAAATCATCATGAAACGAAGATCCATTTAAAAAAGAATTGCCAAGTTCATTCGAATTTCTTTGATTCGCCAATGTGCGACCCTGTACAGGTGACTCATGATTAGTAACTGTAGAATGAGAAGGTCGTTGCATCGAGAGCGTCGAATGAGTTTCACTGCCAGCCTGCAGTGACCGATTCACTGTGGATTGTTTGGCCCAATGCTCTGTAAAAGAGGCTTTGGACTCTAATGGTTCTACCATATTTATAACATTTGATCAAAAGTTTTAGTTGTCTTATTAATTTCCCGATTCCTGAAATCAGCATTTATCATAAAGATAGCATCAAAAAACCACGTACGAATTGAAAAATGACAACATAGTTCGCATAAATCGGCGAAAACTGCACGAGTTCTTTTCATCAGTAGCGGTGAAAGTTCAAAGTTGAAAAAATAAATGGTATAAAATTCTTTCGAAGTTTTATCAAAACTTATATCTTATATATAGTATATGTATATGTGGTCTTCGCCTCGTAGAACCTCGATTATTTATTTCCAACGTTTGAACTAGAAAAGAAATCTAAAAAGTCGAAAATTTCTGGTTAATACCAAATTCATTGTTGCTTATCATATATTCCTTGAAATTTTATGGAAGTTTATAAAATCAACAATTATTTTCACTTGATTGTTAGCGAAATCTATCACACAACACAGTATACTAAGAGATTTTCAAGAATACTGAGATTATCATAATTCATTTCCTATTTAAATTGAAATCGAAGAAATTCATCTTTGCTGAGAAACCAGTCTATTGGCTTGCTTTCTTCTGCATTCTTATAACAATAAAAATAATTTTTATCGCTGTGGAAATATTATTTATGTATTCGCAAACGTTTTCAGTAAATATGCTATAATTTTTTCAAAAAAATTCTTACATAAATTTATTTTTAATGCTAAGTTTGAAGAGTTGTTTTAATCAAAATTAACACTAAATTTTAAAATCAGAAATTAAAAAAAGGACAAAAATTAATGGTTAATAAAAGCAAATTTTCTTCCAATGATGAACTAAATATGATATGATAACAGTGATAAAATAATACAATAACTAAATGATTAGCGTTCATCATTTTTGGTTGCCCCCATCCCCACTGGCTGTTAGAAATTTGTGCCTCGGTGTCATATGGAATTAGAGAAGTGTGGATAGAAATAGGGATGGATTCCTACTGCCATCCAAATTTTTTAATGACAGATTTACTTCTTATAATCTAAGCAGCAATGATCTAAGCAACTGTTGTTGGCTATTCTACCTGCAAAAATAATGTAATAACATTAATTGATTTTAATACTAATATCAATAATGGTGATAATGAAAGCTGAATCAGAAAAAATGAGTAAAGAATGAAAAATTCAATGAGAGATATTTTCATTGAAAAAAATTCCGCAGAACTACTAAAAGATAACTACCATATATGCAAGAACTAAGCAAAATGATGAATACGAAGAAGCAGATTAAGGATGGCAGCGATTTCTTCGATGTATTGCATAGTCGATTGCCTGCGAAACGGGTTCTTAGACGGATCTAAGTGACCAAACTCCGCCGAACATGATCTAACAACTGGAAGTTACGCATATGTAATATTTTATATATGTACAGATATTATAATTTATATGTTAAAATATTATAAGTTTATCGTTCATCTACTGCAACTTCAGCTAACCTGAAAAATACGATCATTCTTTTTAATTCACAATTTAACAAACAATCACAAAAAATTTATACCATACCTTCCTTAGTCAATTAAAAATAATGAATTGATTTGCAGGATTAATGTTTTTTTTAGGATCAAAAACATTTGGTGAAAATCCTAAATTGGTGAATGGTGAATAGTGTAAGCAATAAATCTGAGTGATATTTCTAGTGGAATTATTCGGTGCATATGCCAAAATCAAATTTGATTTCAAATTTCGACTTAGTTATCATTACACGAATGAACTAAAAATGAGATAAATTAGCTTTTAATTAACTATGGATACATAAATTTTCTTCATATAAAAATAAAAATAGTGGCCATATCAAATAAATATGAATAATATTAATACTAAAAATTTACGCTCGAGAACTATAAGTGAATTTTTAAAATTGCCTTTGGCTAATTCCTTAAAATAAAAAAAAATAAATAAAAAACATCAACAAGCGATAGCAATTTTTGTAAATGACCGATAGTAGCCGACCGATTCACAAAATGAAACATTCATTCCTAATAAAAAGCCGTAAGAAATCAGGTTTCGCTCTCGCTCATGTATAGATTCTTTTTCAATAGATTCTTTGCGGCGACATGTCCTATTGTCATTGGCATGCATTATTTTCTTCTTAATCTCTCATTCATCCATTATCGCTTACGTAAGTTTTGACCAATGGCAATGACCGTTGATGCACGCAAAAACTGGTTTATTCACTCATATTTTAATTGTTTTTCGTTAAAAATGAGTTGCAGACGGAACTCTTCGAATAAATAAAAAACAATTCTTATTCGATTTGTTCATTTTTTCACTTAATTTTGCATGGAAAACCACAGATTTTCCGCTTTTCACGAAACTATTCTTTTCAAATGAAAAGAAAAAAGTGATTTAAAACAATTTTTAATGAAAAATTATTTATTTAGGAAGATATGCCCAACTGTAATAAAGAAATCTTAAAATAGAATATAAAATAAAGAATCCGACAGTAATAATTTGAATCAGAAATAAGGTAGTGAAGTGATTTGAGTGACATGCTCCATGTGCTATTAATAGGTTTCCATTCCGTTAACTGGTGTAAAATTGTTGTCGAAAGTGAAATCCGGATAGATTTTTTCATAAATAACCTTCTGGCTAAGGAGCTTCATCTAAATAGCCAGTGGAAATAATTAAACCAGAAATGATGAGCGCTTTTGGAAATAAAGCTTCGATTTTAAAATGGTCCAAAAGGTTCATTAAGGGGATGTATTTCAGATATAAGAATGACAATATTCGTCTGTTAACAATAATCAAAAAACCACGAAATATGAAAGAATATTCCATGAAAATATGAAGTAAAATTGGATTAAAATAATAAACTGAAATGATGAAAAAATGCAGATTTCTAATTTAAAACTGTGCTACGGCTGAAATTGGAACTTTTTTTTTAAAGAGCATTCATCATTACTGGCTGAATTCGCTCAACTGACTTGTCTCTAGGGAGTCTTTTGGCGATAGAAATACAGATGAGTAGCCAGCATCATCCGGATTTTTGGACAGGTTTACTCCTGCGGGAATTAGAAATCTTAGCATCAGCACTCCAAATTCAGCAAACACCTAATGAGCCATTCTACTACTTACGGTAGAATCTTGTAATGTTGTGTTTGAGAATTGATAAAGATAAAACTATTATCAGCTTTTTAACGGGCTGTTCATTTCAGTTCCCATTGAGCTTATCTCAGAATGAAATTATTCTATAAAATGGGGGATAAAACATTTTATTTGAATGTTAGGCCAATATAAAAATAGAGGAAATGATTTCATTTTGATCAGCCAATATCGCCAATTTTTCAATATTTTTTCCCTAAATATACTTGACCTGAATGCGATAATAATAATGAACTTTTGTAGAAATAATGGATAAAATTAGGCATAAAGCCTTTTTTATGCATGGGAATACACAGTGCATGGGCATAAATGAAGATTATTTTTCTTCGAATTTTTGAATTCGAAACCATTAATACAAACAATTTAGGATCTTTAAACTGCTTTGAAAGTCCAAATAAACCAAAGCCTCAGTATTTAAATGATTTGAATAAGTAATTAATGCTAATTCTTATTTATTCAGCCAATAAATTTACTGTCTAAATAGCTAAGGCACAGAAAAGAAAGCGAGTTAAAATTCTATAGACTAGCTTGAAATGTCACTGTTTTCAGAATGGTAAAATAAAAAAATAAATTAAAATTTTTCTATCAAATCAAATGACGCAATTGGCACTTTGGAAACAATGAATATAAATCTAAAACTATTTGCAAGTTGGCTCTTTTGAAGCATTTTCCTTGAGGAATAAAAGTTCAAATCGGTATTGAGAATCATTCGGGCTGCACATTTAATAGATTTCTCACCTAGAACTGAAGAATTGAAGGAACGAACTGAACTCATGGCACTTGAAAATAACTTACCACTCGACGATCTTGCCCATCATCAAAAATTAACCTAATTTGAAAAATCCAGTAAATCTAAATAACCATAGTCTTTGGTTAAAAAGTCTTCATTGCTTCAAAAAGTGATTTATGGACATAAGACGGAAATATGCCGGCTGATGCCAAAGCAGCGTGGATTCAATTTCTGAAGAAATGAGTTGTTTGTAGTGAGAAAAAGGAGAAGTTTCATTTTTCCCTGGAATTCTATGGATTCATCTAAAAAATTAAAAAGTTTATCAAAATGTTAGCAGATCGAATGCAAATCCTAACAAATCACATGAAATACATCCATCAAAAAAAAGAGAGAATATGGAATGAAATAGCAACAAATAAGACTTAAACAATATTGCATCTTTATCTTTTTTTTGGCCTGAGCGTAAAGCGCGAAAAAGTATTGCAGAATGATGGAAAGAAAAAAGGAATATTAGATTTTAGGATGATGGTAACGATGAAATGAAATGCCCTTGGCCTTGCGCAATGCCATTTACAAGTGATGCGTCAAAATCGACCTAGAAAATTAGGTCACCAGGTCTTCCTTCTTTCTTCTTCACCTTGTTATTACGCGATTTCTCTAAAATCCTCTCGACAAAAATAAATTTTCTTTTCATGCAATCGTTCATCCATATACGTTGATCTCTTCTAAATTTCTTTCGCACAGATTTGTAGATATTTCTCGCAAAAATTTTCTATGCTACAAAAAAGTTCATCGTACCAAGTGAAAAATTTCTTTTTTTTTTCGAATTTTATTTCACTTTAATCAACCGTCGTTTACCTATTTTTAAAAAACTTTGAAATTTCTCAAACAGCAAAACGAGTACTTCTTTTTTTTGCTCTTCTTAGCAATTTTTCATTTTATTACTTTTAACACGATAAGTTCGATTGCGTGACCGACGCTGAAGTAAATTTGCATTAAGAAATTATTAAGAAAATCAAAAATTTTGATAGTTTCATCGTAGGAAAAGAAGAGAATAGAGAATTTAAATAAAAATCACCGTTTTTATACACCTTTAAAAAAAAGAAGCAAGT